GTCGATGTTTTCATCGAGATCGCAACTTTTTTAAAAATATTTTTAGCTTTCGAGACGAAATTGTGTTCGGTTAAAAATATCCGTTCACGCATTGCGCGCTGCGAGTTTAAGAACCCTGCAAATAGGCGAAATTTCTCGGGGATTGAAGAATCTCGATGCACGTTATCGCGTCTGGAAACGTCGTAGGCCGACGAAGAGACGGACTATACTGGTCTTTATATCAGGAAGATCGATAATTCGTTCTTCTCCACAAGGTCTAAGATGATCCATAACTTTCTTTAATAATCTTTAATAATTTCTTTGTCAAATGACGAACGTGTCCGTACGCGTGATTGCCTCTTCGGAGTGCTGGCAAGTTTTTGTCTCGTGGCGACGGGACGGCGTGTCGTGAATATTCACCGCGGCGGCGTCGGAGGAAGAAACCGATTTCGCCGCGGAGACAGAAGCCGCGATTCCGCTTTTGAGCACCTCAAAACGCGCGAGAGCGTGCTTTCGAGAACGAACGTCTTGCTGCCTTACCAGTTTACATTTACAGTTGGCGGATCTTGCGAACAATCTCTCGGAATATTATTTTCATTTCTGATTTCCTCAACGAATTGAGAAACTTATTTTCACCCGCGCTGCGTTTCTCGTGTACAATTTCTGAATTTTTTTTTTTGCAGTATCTTCTGCAGTACCTAACGTAAAGCAGACTCACGTTGCATAATTCCGTAACTCCGCGTAACTCCGCGTACACTGTACCTTCATCGAGAAATAGTTCCTCGAACACGATCAATAGTCGCGACGCAACGCGAAGAGAGGCGATATTAAGAGTACAATAGTATAGAAGAGAAATGAAAGAATTCGTTATATATGTATGTATATAGTCATTGTTTGGCGATTTCAATCGCGTATCATATTTTGTCGAAAGGCATTTATCACGGAACAGGCTTTGTCTCTTTAAAGATCAAGTGCTCCGTCTCTTTTCCTCTTGGACAGGCGACTTGCTTTATCACGTTGTCAGCGACGAGCGCGAGCTAGCACGAAGGGACCCTAAAAATACACGACGAACTTACGGTTATCGTCGGGACCCACAGACATTTTTCCCTCGAACATGGGCCTGGGGCTCCGCACGAAAGCAGAGAGACGGCCCCGAGTCCAGACCCGAAAGCAACGGGGCCTGGATATTCCGGTTCACTTAATCGTTTCCTCGGACCTGTGCCGGGGATCACGGGGCGGCGATGCCGCGATGGTTCTCCGGCCCAAAAAGGCCCACAAAAAACGGCGGCGAGCCGAGAGAGGATCCTGAGAGAGATCCTCGCCACGTCGAATAACGCAAACAGAACGCCATGTACAGCTTCGTCTAAATTATCTGTCAAGGGATGATATTGTTCTGGCCGAGCTGAACGTGTCTGTATATACGCTGTTCTATGACCGTTGGATCGAATTTTGAGGTCTGCAATTTTTAGTTAAGATGAATACGGAGAAAATTTTGGAGTAGTATAAATGATAAAAATAAATGGTTTTTTTAGGGGTGTTTGAATTTAGTGGGAATATATGAGAAAATATTCTTCGTAGAGAATAAAAATTTAATTATATTGAATTATATCACGCGTGCGTATAATATTGCACACAAAATATGCGATATTTATGTCATGAAGTATTTACGATTTTTTAACTACTTACAATTTGACAAAAGTTAAAGATGAAATTAATTGAATTTTAATTAATAATAAAAAATATATATAAATTATAGACGAATAGGTCATTCTGCGATTATATCGCCGTTTCGTCACTTATTCAAACCTGAACTGTAGTTCTGACATACTGATTTTTCTGACGACGAGGTCGACCCTGAGGATTCACACACGTGAAAAACTATAGCGGTTCGAAACTAAACAAATTAAATGACGACTTTATAGAGACAAACGTCGCGCACGTATTATCAACACGTAAAGACATCGCTGTCATTTGCAGACCTTAAGCTGCCGTCGTTAAATACACTTAAACTTTTCGTTTCGTATTCACGTTCTTGGAGTACTTTGCACTTGCGGAAATTACGGGAATTAATTATGCATATGGTATTTGAACCGAACGTATTTCCGGTGGGGACTTGCTCTTATCCTTCTCGTTCTTCCCTTCTCGGTACGACGCCGCCGCTCTTCTCGCTCGCGCCATTACGTTAATCGCTAAAATGCATCCTTGTGTGTTTTTTTTTTCATTGCACGGAACTGTCCTTCTATTCTGTCCTTTTCGCTGCACGTAGCTATCTTTTTCGCTTGCGTAGATTATAGTTAACGTTTATATCACCCAAGTAGCAATAAACGTCGCTCGTAATACCTTTTACGGAACGGTGGAAACTTCCCTTCCATTTGTTTTCCCCTGCGCTTCGACCTATCGACGCGACTGTATGTATTATTTGTAAGTGTCTCTCCCTTGTTGCATTAACGATGTTGTACCTCGATTCATTATGTAAACATCGCGATCGATAAGGGAGAGGGAGCAGCGTTTTGCGTAAGTGTACGATTTTTCCTACTCTTGTTGCCTCTGTGCCGAGAACTCGTGTGTCTAAATGTGCGCCTTGCGTGCCGGCGAGCTGTTGAAAAGGAGCGCTTTATTCGGATGTTCGTTTAATTCACAGAGCCGATAATCTTTCTGTATAATTGTCGATACCCCTAACGTTTCGCAAAGAAAACCCTTGAGAAACATAAAGTCGAAGCGTGCGAGGGAATTTAGTATCGAAGCAACCTTTCGCGCTGCAACAAGCTGATTATTGCAGTAACGAACCTCGATCCTTGTTTTATTTCAGTTTTGATTCTTAACTCGATCTTAAATCTCACGAATTTAGTACTGTCTGATCAACTGGTGACCCGGTGAATAAATAAAATTCTAAAATATACTTACAGTATTGGTAATGAGTAGTAATGACGAAATGAATATTTGAATAGCATTTTAGAAATAGTATAGGTAATCAGCTATATCTATAGACAGAAGTTAAATCGTAAAATTCATTCATTGATTCGTGGCTCCATAAAGAGCAAGATTTACTGCTTCTGATTGCGCTAATCTTGTTTTATTCGATTCTATTGGTTAAGTACATTTTACATATTTGGAATATTTAGTGAAAAATTATATTTCAAGTTCACACGTGTGCGCGGCATTTTATCTATATTTGAGAAATAGCGCGATAAATTTTTAATATATCTCTGGGAAAAATATAAACCACTTTGGGGCCCACGAGATTTTAGATAATCAAATTATTTGGATAACTCTAATAAACATTTTGGTTAGTGCCCCTTAAGTGAAAAGCTCGGTGAAAAGTTATTTTTGCGTAACTGAATATCGACAGAACTAATGGAGAGAATTGACTAGTATAACTTAAAAATCTTTGAAATAGATAGAATAGCTAATTACGATTTTTAGTTACGCGTAATCATGGGCCCCAAAGTGAGTTATTTCCGTCTTTATTTTTGCCAGAGAGTACGTATACTATAAATAAAATTATCAAACCAATTCTAAAACTTTCCTCGAGATATCAAAATAACATGCCCTGCATTATTTAAAATGACAATGCGTCGCTCAAAATTCGCCTCGCGAAAAAAAAGTGCTCTGGCATGCACGAATTTCATGTCGATCTTTAGGTCCCCTTGTCTGCGCGACGTGATACAAAATTATCTATTAACAAATATTGCTATCCGTTTGTCTTTTCGACGACAGTCACGTCGTTAAAGTAGCCGTTAATCGAAGAAGGATTCGCGAGCACTATTTACGACGCGCGCGACATTTCCGGAAATTAGCGGCGTAAATATTCGTATTACGTGACTTTGCTAACGTCTCGTTCGGTTTATTGAATACAATTTACATGCAGTACGTATAGTCGCTCCTTTTCACGAGTACCTTACCATATTACGATACTCCAGTGTTGGTAAAAATATCTCGTAGCAACCAAATTGTTATATTTTTTGAATAAAATGTCTACAAGAATAATATCTGTTTGTATGTGATACTTGATCACGTAGAATCGGAATTGCTCGCGGTAATAATTTCGATCGTTACGTAATTTTAATTTTAATATCGCGTATAGAAAATGTTTTCATCTCGATATCTATCACAAAGACAATATCGACTCTCGCTTAAAGACGGTTGATCTTTATATTTAAAACGGAGATAGGAATATAATGAATTTTCATGAAACTGTTTAAACTCTCCGAGAAATGCAGATCGGGAGCAACTTTGCATTTAGATATACGAGTGCGGTCACTAGGAAGTGCGCGCGATATCGCATATGAGATATACATATTTTAACAACACTGGCCGGCCGCGACGCGATGCGAGCTAAGGACGAGCGTGAGAAAAGACTGAGGAGAAGACGATTAGCAGAGACGATTAAAGTAATGTTTAACGCGACGAAAAGGGTCATTCTCGAATTACGAGCGTAGCACATATAAAACGTCGAGGAACGCATCCGATTTGGTTGTCAGTCGGTCGCACAAGTCGTTTACTTTGACGATCGGTATTTTGAATCGTTTTTAGTTGAAACGTATACCTATACCCGATAACGCTTTCAGATAACCGCGACTTATCGCGAGACATTTTTCTCTCCGCGACGTATATTTCTTTCTGGCTGGATTGATTATTCGACGCGGATATTTAAAATCGTTATCGCGATGCCTTGGCGAGTAATACGATTTAACTCTCGTTGAAATCAGGAGGTAAAACGCAAAGGGGATCTCGTTTCGATTCCAGTCGAGCAGGAATCGTCGGCTCTCTTCAGGAAATAAACACGATACGATCGAACGAGTTTCCATGGCGAAAAATATCGAGGTATCGCGGGGCGCGATATCGGCTATACCGGTCAGCTCGGACGTTCCCTTGACGCGTACGTCTCGCGTTACGAAATGTCAATGCCGGGGGGAGGGGTTAGAGAGACAGAGAGAGAAAGGAGAGAGAGAGAGAGATCTCTGTCCCATCTTCGTTCGAGATCCTCCCCGACCGAGGTAACATTTAAATACCCTCGCCAGGTTCTTCTCGGTGCACGTCGATCGGTGGTTCAGCCAAGTGATCTTGTGAGAGAAGTGAGAAGACAGCCTGGCTGGCTGCGCCCAGCGTCGCGCGCGCACACCGAGAAGGAACCTCCTTGTGTCAAGCTTGAGGACGACGACGACGACGACGACGGCGGCAACGGCAACGGCAAGGAGGGTGAGAAGGAGAAGGAGGAGGAAGGGGAATACCGCCGGACGAGAGAGCAAGTGACAAAAAGGACAGGGTGAGGCGAGGAGTAAGAGGGAGAGTAAGAGAGAGACAGACACGGGCGAGAGTAAAGAAGGACAGACGGAGGATGAATGGCCCCGGGAGTCATCAGCACCGCAGCTTGGGCATGCAGGGACGTTACAGAGCCGTGGTGGCCAATGGCGCCCCATCGGGGCCGCACGCGCGCACCCCCGCGTCGTCTCATCCCCGCAATGGTGGTTGGCACCCCCACGGTCTGCACCAGCACCAGCAGCAGCAGCAGCACCAGCCTCAGCAGCAACAGCAGCAGCAGCAGCAACAGCAGCAGCAGCAGCAGCAATTCGCCGCCGGCAGCAAGGAATACCCGTACCGGCAGTGCCCGCCACGATATCACAATGGGTATATTAACGAACTCCGCGCAATTGCGACCGTCGTGAATATAACGCGAATTTTCGCGGGCGGGCGTGTTCGACAGGGACTCGGGCGACGATACCGTGACGAGAATATTTCTGTAGAGTTGTCGGTAAATCTAATTTTTTTTCTCGCGGAGACACTTCTGTTGTATCGAAACGCTTTGTGACGATGGAGTAATACTTCCTTTGACGTGTCTTTTTTCAAGTCTCATTCCCACGTATGTCGATATTTTTTACACTTCGATCGGATTCGTTTAATCTCATTAGAAAAGGAACGATAACGTTTTTTACTCAAGGAAACATACGACAAACTTTATTTTTCTAATGTAATATGCGTGTGATTCATGGTAAGATCGTTCCGCGATGACGAAGAACGTACGCATCTCATTAGAAAAATATGTAGGATGTACCGGAGGCGGGGTCAGATTTGTACCATATATTAGCGATTCTCAAACCGTCTCGAATGAGAGAGCTATAACGGGACAGAAGATACGGCACTTCCGCTTTGATAGAAATTTTGTTTTGCTTCACTTAAAAAATTTACCTTCAAAAATACGATTTATCACGGAAAATACATGCAAACATGCATCGGTAAATTTATAAAACATATTGGTAAATTGATCATTTCGGCATTAATAAGTTTTTTTTTTAACAGATGTTTGCTAAACTTTCTTTAGAAAACTTGATCTCCAGAAGTTGAATAAAAGTTCATCCGTTAATCCGTTCGACATTAAATGAAGAAGGAGAACTTAGTAATTTTATGTGTACTTCAGAAGTTTATCTCGCGAAGGTAAATTATAAATTGCGCTGGTAATTGAAAGTCTCCTTCGTATATTTTGATATTTTTTTATAGCGGAAAGTCATTACGCGTTACGTAAACGGAAGACATTCTCCGAACGATGGCGAATAAGACGAATTTGGGACGCCCTGTACAATTTTCACGGACTTTCTACCAACTGTAGAAAGTCCGAAGTAAATAGAATTCCGTTTATTCAACGCCTGGAAAACGCTCTCGATCTCTATCGAGATTGGCTCAAAAGTCGACACGCGTTTCATTACGGGATGGATCGAGCTTTTTTTTCTTCTTTTTTTCCCGCGCGGCGAAAATTCTCGTGCCATGCTCCCATTATTCACCATGCATTTGTGCACGAACTTGGTGCATGGCTTAGCGAAAGTGCGAGATACACACATGCATACACATATATGTACACGTATATTATATATTACATACATTTTATATAATATGTACGTTATATATTGTATAAAAATATATAAATACACATAATATGTAAAATGTATATTTCTAATGAGAGATTTATACATAAAATCAATTTTGTAATTAAAACCCGACTAAGCATCGCATTCAGGCTAGGCCGAGAGAGACCACGGTGTTCGCGTGTATTTAATTTTCAGAGGGGCCGACGTTGAAGAGTCGACGATTCTCTCTAATCAACGATAATCAACGGGCCCGCCGCGATGACGTGCCCGCGAGACGCGCTTTATTTCCGCGCTCTCGCACTTCGAAACCCTTTTTCACCGGCTCGCCCGCGCGGCGCCTATGTATTTCTCGTTTATCTGCCTACCTTAATTTAAATCAGTTTATCGATTTTTCTTCTCTCTCTTTTTCTCCATGTGCCCGACAGTGCGCACTTTCGTTCTATGCATGTGTGTGTGTGTGTGGCATCGCTGAATTCATTAGATACGACTATTATACTCTTGCCGCATGCGTGTAGATCTCACAACCTTACAGACTTACGAACGTTCAATTAGGATCTCCCGTATAGGGCGTCCCGATCTCTGCCTTTGATCTTAATGACAGAATTTGGAGACGATAGTAAATCCTTGGAGAATATTTCCGAGCGAAGCCGTAATAAAGTAATTTTTTAATGCAGTGTAAAGCCAAAATTGACCTTCGGATTGAAAATCTGATAATGAAAGTTTGCATGGAAATTTAAACAGTCTTTCTATTTGTTTGCACTTACATATTTTACAGCGTTTAATTCGAAAATAAGATATGAGCGTCTCGACTCGATTTTATTTAAGGGAAATTCGATTTCAATAAAATCGATAACTGTGTCGTTAAAATTATATAAAAGCGAAAATTTTTGTATATTTTATGTATATACACGCGGACTATTGTTAGATAATCGGTAACTTTTACTAAGTACTGTTGCCTGTTAAAAAAACCTAAAAAAAGCTTGAAAATATTTTTCAAGTACGTTGATTTTGATGAGATATCTAAGGAAGGTAATTAAAGATGTTTTTGATTCTGATAGAATTATCGATGCAACTGTATAATGTATTCGCATCCTCTTGCAAGTAATTGGTTCATCGTCGGCGACTATTGTTTCGCAAACAAAAACCTATAGAATCAACGCTGGAAATTTTACTTTTAACGAAATTTTTCGCTGCTCACATATGTAATCATTCGGAGAAAGTACAGTAGGTCAGTGACATTCTGCATGTTAAAGACTGCAAGTTGCATGCAAAAAGACATTGAAAAAGTGCTGGCTCATGCGTTCGATTTGAATCACTATCAAGCCTTGCCTATATATAAATTCATGTTGCAAACACGTAATGTATACTTAATCACTTCACGATTGCACGATTTTGAGAGGCGCAACTCTTTCTGTCTGTCGAAATATTACACCAGTAAAAGTATAGAGTAAAAATTGTTAATATACCTATGGAAAAAAAACAAAAAAAAAAACATTAGCTGACATATAGCATATAACATTAGTTGACATATAGCATATAACATTAGCTAACACTTTATTTGTATCTCTATTTATATTTCGTCGAGGGATGAAATTCTCTAATAAAATTCAACGTTGCGTATAAATAATTCGGTTAATTAACTGACAACATAAATTTTATTTTCCGGAACGTATCCCTTGAGAAGACGTTACATTAAAATCACACTTTTAACAGATTTTAATTCGTGGTTTAATTAGCACAACAAGTAACGCATGTCTCGCAGCGGTTTATCATTTCTCCTCGACTAGACGGTTCTGACGGTCCATTCTCGCGGTCGTACTTCAAACTAGTGTAATCTCCGCACCGTCTTATACGATCGGGGCTATTGACGCATGACATCGACATCTTTGAAAGCCATTTAGCTCCGCCAATTGACTCTAATATCCGTCGAGACCGAACGGTTTTACTACGCGCGCGCCCCGCTTTTAACATTTTACTTTCCTCGACTTTTTCCACGCCATGTTTATATGTTACGCCCGGTTATCTCGTTCAGCATGCTCGCGCATATTTATCAGTTTCGTGCAAGTGTACACTTATGTATAGATTTTTTTCCCTCTCTCTCACGACCGCGAGGCATCTCGATTCCTTCTGTCGAGTCTCGCGAATGTCGACGCGTGACGACTAAAAGTAAAAAAAAAAAAGGAGGCAAGAGAACGCGATAGATTCCCGACAAAAATGCTCTCTTTCACGGGGAAATCGGAGGAAAAATCAGTCGAGTGCCATATAATGCGACGAATTAAATACAAATACATAAAATAAATCGCGAGTACAATATGCAACATTGATGTCAAGCCGTACGAACGCACGCGGACGAAATTATGTAAATAGCATTACGTTACATCATGTACTACATACGAGAGTGTAGTGTGACTATTTTACCCAACGTCACGTCGTGCATTATGTAACGTTACAGTTCGGCTTCCATTGACACGTATGTATATTCTTTATGACGCCCGCTCGGCAAAAGTATATAACCAGTCCGATTGTGCGACGATAAATAAATCCGCGGCGAATAAAAATAAATAAATCGTCCGGCGCACAACCAGCTTGCCGAATCGTTAACTATTACGGCCAATTTATTCGAACCTGCTTGTAGGTCAGGCAAATACATAGAGAGAGAGAGAGAGCCGTGTCCCCGCCGCGATCGGACGTCCTTTCGGCCGGCGGATTTGTCGCGGATTCGGCTGTCGCTTTTCCGTTTAACCGAAAATTGAAGATGGATATAGCGCCGATGAATGTCAGCGACAAAATTATCGCGGCGCTCTCGAATCTTTAATACGGGCGAGCGCTTCTAATTTCGGCCGTAATAAAATGTCACGGTGCAAAGGCCTCTCGCGCTCGCGACTTATTTATCAGCAAAACCCCGAAAGTATCGCCTCGTGCGATTTATCGACGATATTTTCGCCTCGCGAACACAACGCCGGTCTTCCTCTTGTCCGTTCTTGTTTACGACGCGCGTCGTCGCCGCGGACGTCGCTATCGTTTCAATTCTGATGACTGCGACTTTCATAAAAGCGCTCGCGAGAGGAGAGGCTTGATGCTTAATCGCGAACCGCTCGAGCCTGAGCCTGAGCCTGAATCCGCGACGTTGCAAATCATTTCGGGAGCCGAGCGAATGATCGTATGGAACCCTAAACTCGTCTGCCTGCCGAAATCGCGAGTCGCGGGACGTGGAGGAAGAAATCGAGATGATTCTTGACGATGTGGAGAGATTTTCGATCGGGTCGAAAAACCGGGTCTTCGCCCGGAAATAAGATTTCGCCCGCGGATCTGGCGCGCGCACCGGCGAGACCTTGCGCACGCCAGCGAGTCGAGCGAGACTAAAATTAATTAGACACGTCGAAATAGATCACGCTTCGCGTCCACGCGGATCAATACGCTCTCGCGCGCGGAAGTGCGAGAGCGAGGAGTCGCGGGGATTAACACGGGTCGGCTCTCTTTCAAATTTGCATAACGTCGAATTCCCGTCACTTCCTTCATTTAAACGTCGAATTAAATCGCAGTATTTTCGTGTCCGCAGCGACGAGCGCGAGCGAACGCTTGAAATTTGAAGGAACCGTTCTCTCCCTGCTGCGCGCATATACGATTCCGTTATCGATTCGCTAAAGAAGAAGAGATCCGCCGTTCTCGCCGGGAAATTTTTGCCGAGGAAGGGCAGATCCCCTATCCAGCTTTTTTTTCCCACGCAGAAAAAAAGAAGCGTTAAATCAAAATTAACGTAGCAATCTATAATCTTTTGATAAGAATTTCAACTCTTTATTTCAACTTTTTTTTTATCGAACTATAGTTTATATATCAATGAATTTATTTAAACACATTCAAGGAGGTTGGAGGTTTCTTCGTTTCACGCAATATATATAATCTTATTTCAAGATTGTTGCGTATATACGAGTATATAAGTCCTTGATTTAACACTTATATTTTTTCTGCACGGAAAAAATAAGCTGGATAGGAAACTGCTGTTCCTTTTTTTTCTATGTGCACGCAGAGAACTCCTCCGCGGGATCGTTGCGCGGAGGCAGGGAAATTCGCGTTGGCCGAGATCCTCGTTCCGCGGCCGCGTACGTGACTCATCTCGTTACGAGAGTGCGGCCGGTATATCGGCGCTTATAACCGAGTTTATCGCTCGGCGGAGAACGGCGTATCTCGCGAGGGATTTACTACGTATTTTCCGTTCGCGTTTTCCATGCGCCACCGTGTACGCGAATCTCTCTTCCCCCCTGCGCGTATCTCGGCAACCCGCTCATATTTTCTCTTCTGTATATGCAGGGATTGCCCCGGGGTCGGCACGTCCTCCGGACCGACTGGCAAGGAGGTTTCCTATCACGGGAACGTGGGTGGAAGCAGCGTGGGATATAAGCCCCCACCGCAGCACAGCCCACAGACGAGGGGCCCGTCGCCGCACTTCCCCCAGGAACCGGTAGGCCCGCCGGCCAACTCCCCGCCGTTGCACATCAATATATGCGGACAGGTGAACGCCTCTTCCTTGGTCCCCTTTTCTCTCTCTTTTTCTCTCTCTCTCTCTCTCTCTCTCTCTCCTTTTCGAGGAGATCGCCTAATTGTAATGACCGTTTGTGATTTCAGGAAAATACCATGCGCGGTCCTATACTGAACATAAGTCCCGGCCTTGGAGCCAGCGGAGTAGACATGGAGTACCGCAGGAACTCTCAAGGTACCCGAAGTTCCATCCTCCGTTCGTTTATCCGCAACGGAAGTTCGTTATCCCGAGCCTGCGTGCAATTTTTGTCTTCTTTTTCTTTCGCATCGCGTCGATTTAATTTGGCTAAAGTGATCCTTAGAGATAGAGAGTCTTTCGTGATCCGATGTCGCGGGAAAGTTACGTAAATCTCTGCTTTCAGCCACGAACCAGCTACCTCTAAGCCCTGTGCAGATCCAACCATCGCCGCCTTACTACAGGCAGCCTAGTCAGGACGATGGTAGAAAAGTGAGTGGCTGTTTTGCTTTGCGCTATGACGACAGTTGAAATGACATGACTCGGTGTCAATAATTTGTATTTTCCATTGAATAATTCGAGAGAAACGAGCTCGTCGTGATCGCGGTTGACGACAGAATTCACGAACTGAACTCCCTGATTCGCGATTAAATGAATTGTACGTTGTACTCAATAATTACCGACAAGCTAAAAATAAGCTTCTGAATCTTTCTAACAATCTACAGTATTTTTCTTTTCTTTGATAAAAGAACCATGTGTCTTCCTATCCTCAGCGAAAACACTGTCCTGATGTCGTAAATTTGGTTTTATAACGAGCTTACGTATACGCGATGTTTACTTAATGTCCAAGTGTGACATCTCGATTATTTCACTAATTAAAACAAGCCCTTTATCAAGTCACTAATTACTACAACCTTTTTGATATTCTGCTGACAAACTGAGAGCTCTTCTTCAAACGCCACATTTACTCGGAGCGGAAGTGAGTAAGAGAGAACAAACGATATAGACAATATACAACGTGATGTTTTTCCAGAGCGAGTCGCCGTCGAGGAAGCGTCGCCGAATATCTCGCAACGGCGCCGTGTCTGGAATAGAGGTCCGAGAGACGACGCCGCCAGCGCCGACGCCACCCTTGCACACACCACCGCCTTGGGAATTTGGGGGCGCGCCACAACGGCGCTCGCCCCGCAATCACATATCCACTCGCGGCATTTCGACGGTCAGGAATCAGCGTTATCAACGATACGCGGATACGTTCGGGCTCTCCTATCCGTTCCTAGGTCACAGTCCCCATCAGAGCATCCACAATTCCCATCACGGCCTTCACAATTCGCATCACAACATTCATGGCTCCCACCCTCACGGTCTACACAACTCCCACCACAACATCCATAACGCACATCAGGCGCATCCCCATCCGCATCCCGCGGCCAGTGGTACGGGACACCATCCTGCGCAGGGGGCAAACGCGCCCGTGGTCGTCGACGTTGGTCAAGTCGGCGTGTCCGGCCTAGGAGTCGCCGTTAGTGGAGAGCCGCTGTGGCATCCGCAGGCGCCTGGCTACAGGATTCCGTGTCAGCTTCACAGTCTCTACTCACCTCATGGAACGCACCCGTTCGGACATTCGTGCCAGGTAGGTCGGCAACAAGTTCCGTCCATTGCGAATAATTGTTTTATTTTTTTACCGGGTAAACAAATCGGCCCTTATCGAACTGCATTTCGTCATATCTCTTAATTAGGGTATTTTTATTAGATAAATTTTGTAATTTACTACATACACTCTGTCTATTCGCATAACAGGTAACGCATCATCACAGTCATTATTCCGCTGCTCATCCAACGCATCCGAGTCACGGAATAGTCGGTTCTTTGGTGGGTGCTGCTCCCAGAGGATACGCGCCACCAGCCGGTGGTGTTGCAGGTCTGCACACCGCGGGTCCACCGCCCGTCCACACCGATTACACCGCGCATCATCAATTGTCTCAGCAGGTGAATTTGGAAAAACATCCTAGGACGGTTGTCCGATTTTATATTTAAGATTGTTCTAAGTCTGGTTTTGGATGGTCTAGATGATCCACTCAATGAAATAACTATACAACATTTTGAGATTGTCCTTCGAACAATCTTAAATATAAGATCGGACTGAGAATACCGCTTTGTTATGGATTGTTATAGAGGATTCATTCTGCATACATTGTTCAATTTCTAAAGAATAAGTGACTAAATGACTAAATGTCATTAGTTTGAATCTTTACATACGTCGAACATTAAACGTCATAGTCCTTCGTTAGACTACGATATTTTAGCGCAACTGCTAACGTTCTTTTTTCACGTTTGCGTTTCTAGAGAGAAGTTGAGCTCGAACTGATAGAGTCCCATCATCACCACAGAGTGGGTGCCACGGCTGGTGCACCATTGCCGTTACCACACTCATATTCCCCGCCGGCTCTTACGCAGGTGACGACACCGCCGCCCATATTCCTGTCGGAGACGCGAAACAGTCAATTGGAGATTGTACAGAACAGAAACCGACGGTTAACGTCCAACGTCCTACGACGACCAAGATTCAACAGATGGAGGAACGCGACTCAGTTACCCATGGCTTATCCGGGATATTTACTACACTTCCTGTACGTATAGCTTGCGCGTATCATTATAATTCCAAGGCGCGCGAAATGCTTGTTTTAATCTACACGCGATATTTTGCTTTTAGTGCAATGTTCAGCAATCCACCGCTGTCCCCCTACAATCAGGCCGAACTGTCCTCGCCCGACTCGGTCACGGAGAACTACGAGGCATTGCTGTCCTTGGCCGAAAGACTGGGCGAGGCTAAGCCGCGGGGCTTGACTCGCGCGGAAGTCGAGCAGCTGCCCTCATACAAATTCAACGCGGAGACACACCAGGGCGATCAGACCAACTGCGTCGTGTGTATGTGCGACTTCGAGGCCCTCCAATCTCTACGTGTTCTACCGTGCTCTCACGAATTTCATTCTAAGTGCATCGACAAGTGGCTTAAGGTGAGTCACCAAACGTACTCCCCTTCCATCTCAACTTAATCGAGATTACATCCCAATTACATTCTGCAAACGAATTTGTTTTCACAGTCTAACCGAACGTGTCCAATATGTCGCGGCGACGCTGGCGAGTATTTCGGAAATAGCAGCAGCAGTTCTGACTGACGCCAAGCCGGCGATGTACACTAGCGCGAAACGCCGCAGCCATCGAGAACATTACTACTGCGCGTTACGGGAATGCCGATCGTTGCGTTGCTATTTCACGTGAATCCGTGTCGTTGAACACCCGCGTCATCTTGGCTGAGATACTCCGTTGATGCAAGATGTTTACAGTCGGTGGTCAAGAATCATCTTTCCGTTGAAAATAACGACGCTGAAACTGGCCGAATGCAAGTGATGGGAAGAATAGCTGTGAATGTACGACCTCATTGTACCTGAGTGTCACGGCGTAAGCGGAGGATATCAAGCTTGAAGAACGGTCCAGCGTCTTACCGTCTTACGTTTTGAGAGGAATAGCGAGACGCAATAAAAGCAATTTAGCAAAACGACGAAATAGTCCAAGAGATTCAACGTTCCGTTAGGTTACGGCGCATTTCCTATCAAAAAGAAAGAACAAGTCGAAGTCGGATATTTACTTGGTTCTCGTTTATAATGCTTCAATTAATGTTTTAACGCTCATTAATTATTTGTTAATTGCTACTCTGCATTATCGAATTTATGTACATAAAATAGTATACGCAGACATCGCAACTTTCCATTAACGTTCCATTTTTTTTTAAATAGTTTGTCTTTCAATCCAGTAATTGTATATATTTGCGTAAACACCCTTATACATATACGTGTGCGCGTACAAAACCAGTGTTAGTTTTGTTTGGACTTAACCAAAATGTAGAACAAATTCTTTTGCAATAAAAAAAGTGTATATCGTCAGGTAAGGGAAAAAATTATAACTTCCTACTGTTATAGGCTCTTGTGTCTTTGTAGTATATATACATATATATAGACCAGCTAATTATTTTATTATATTATAGAAATGTATGTAAGTAAAATTAAAATTAGTTGGCACCTTAAGTGCCGGTAGGTAGAAATTGTTGGATTATTGCACCAGATGCCACGTAACTATTTTATAAAATATCTGTAGGTCCGTGTTTAATCCGAAATTCATTTATTCTTCTCTCTTGCGGCAATTTATCATGATTATTTTTTACCTAAGTGTGCTCTAACGTGTGATGGTTACGATTATTACGCTGTGCACTTTGTGAAGTCTGATTTAAAGTGATCTACATCCAAAACGAACGCGTGAATTTCAGAGAGGAAGGATTTTGCTTTTAAACCGCGAGAGAGACAATCTGGCGTATAAATGGTCAAATGCATCCAAAAAAGAAAGGGGGAAAAATGGAAAAAATGTAACGTAAGGATATTGCTTCTGTTTCCTGCGTATCTACCTCTAATAGAAAGAAAACGAGACGATTCATATTTTTTTATATACACATCTCATAAACAATAAACATACCTATGATAAGTGAATGGGAGAGCGACCGGCTAGGAAACGAGGTCTAGATATTTCGACACATTCGAAGAACGACAAATAAGTCTAACGATTGTAGAATGAATTTCTGGGAATAACCAAACCCCGAAATACGAAATACGAAATGCGAAATATAATCTCGCAATTGACAAATTTGCCTAAGAGACAGGTTAAATTTTTCAATTGGAATTGAAAATTACGTTCCGCGGTGTACATTCGTGGAATGCGGTTGCAGCGTAGATCGGATTTTGCCACGAACAAGTTGCGCGCTTTTAGTTGATTATATAACGCTTCCTTATTTACATATACTTCTACACCAGTGTCGGAGGATCGACGAGATTTGTTTATTAGTCTTGTTATTTTTAAGATGTTCAATATACATTGTTAGATAGCGTATGTTATTATTGGCAAGGTATGAATTGTTGAAAGTAGTTTATGTTTCAAAATTAATAAAATTGAGAAGGATACGACATATGCATGTCGTTTTCGGCAGAATTATTGGCGTTTACATTATTATTTTTTTCTCTCGAATATGCTCCTTTCTAACGAGCAGACACTTCCGTTCCAATTTCTCACGATAATCAAAGAGAGAAGTTCGAATATGCGCTCGCTGTGAAGACTCAATAGTCATTTCCGGATATAGAACTTGCGAAAATTTAAAATGTGGCTCACTGCGAGAGATTGCACATACGATCGCAAAAGCCGAGCTCTAACGAAATGCAATTGGCGATCTGTCCGAATGATCTCGATGGATGCGCGTGTGTCGTGTTGCGTGCGTGTTGCGCGCGTGCGTGCGTGCGTGCGTGCGAAGAGAGATTTGCTAAGATGCGTTTGCCACTACGTTTATTTTTCTCAGATGTAACAACGGAACGCGCGAGGAAATCTTTTTATCTGCGCATTACATAATTTTGTTCAGATCCACAAAATTGCGTCGCGCTTCGTAATTTAAGCTTCAATAGCGTTAATTACGGCATCGAGTGCTATCTGTTACAAATTGTAATAACGCGTAATTAGCCTCGCGAATCTCCGTTGCAGTTATATTTTTTTTTTTTTTTATCGCTTGCGTTAGATAGTCCCGTTCAAGCGCGCTCGAGAGGACCGATGAAGGTGAATTGTCGTCAATTCGAGGAGAAAATTCGCTCGATAGTCGGTCGGAATGCTGCCTTCCGGACACCCCACATCCCGATAAAACATGCGTCGCGTAAATCGAAGCTCCATCCCCCTACATTCCGAGCAACTTGGAAACTCGAAAAAGAAAAAGAAAAAGCGCGGAGGAACGTGAGAGGAAAACGTCTCCGTTTCTCCCGTTTATCCTTCCGACTTCTTATTGCGTGCCTTTTTGTACACCGACCGACTTCTCGAGAATTAACGCGCGTGCTTGTTTAAGGGAACGCGAGCGATCCGCCGTGTCACACGCTCACGGAGCACACACGGAGGGAGAGAAAATATATGTGTGTGTGCGTATGTGTGCGTGTGCGTGATCGAAATTTACATTTTTATATCCGGCAAACATTTAAGAATACCGACGTATCGGCGATACCCCGTTCACGGTAATAACTCCCCGAAAATAAAAATGTCTCTAAGATGTTTAGCTCTATAAGTGCAGTCCACCCAACTCGGGGTGGACTCGATATGACTGTTGGATGAAAAAAATGCGAACGGGGGAAATTTAGCTATACGTTCGGCGTTCGAATGTGCGGTACATGAATACGGTTTCCTGCGAAGCAGCATCCCTATAAGCGCGTCGTGGACGCGCGGAGAGAACGAGCAAGCATGTAACGCGCGCTAGAACGTTTGTGTGCGTGTGCGTGTGGGGGTGTGTGTATGTGTCCACCTGCGATCCGCCGTTGTGTCGTGAAACGGCACGGTAATCTCGACGATTCCTCTCAGCATTGTCTTAATTTTAAATTCTCATTCTCTTATGTATACGCGCCTGTAACGAGAGATCGACGTTCTTTCGCAGGTTGACATGGCAATAACCAAATTTTATTTTTTCGTATTAAGGATTCTCGGAGGATCAATATTTATTTTTCGGAATTTTATTGGCAAGCCTTCGATCATGATATATAATACATATAACAATATTATATTATTATAGTTATATTATTATAGATTCATATAAAATTGTATAGTTATATATAAATATATGTAATTTACAATTACATAAATTTTTCTGTATAATTGTAAATTATTATGATATATATACATATATAATTCATTGGTCCATCGCTTAAAGTTTTCGTAAAACTGTGCTTGTTTCATAATCGATTAATTTTCGAAGGTTACATCGCTCACTCTTACTTTTTGCTCCATCTGCAAATATTGATCGTCCGAGCCCACCTCTTGAACTCGACGTAACTCGTCCGTGCTCTACCGCATATACGTAACGAACTATATACTATACTTTCTAGTAGTGTCTAGTTTCTAGTGTCATACGGGTCCTAACTTGTTGTCGCGTGTGCCGCGGGAAAGCGCCAGAATTCTATACTTACCCCACACAGAAATATCAAAAGTCTTGCAAAGGCGACAAGCGAGCGAGCGAGCGCGCTGAAGAAAGCCGCTGTTAATCCTTCCTAGATGCGTAAGAAGACATATCATTTTTTTTTTGTTCATTGCGCTAAGAACGATACGCTGTCTCGCGTACCTCGCTTTCTCTCCCTCTTTCTCTCTCTTTCTTTTCCTCTCCGTCGCGCCGCGAAGACAGGCGAGAGGCGAAAGGAAAAGTCCAAAGACAGCTCATTTTCAACTAGCTTATGCAAACCAGCAAGACCGCTGTAACGGGAATGAACGTTCGATGGGCAGAAGACAAGCTGTCGATCTTGCATAACGTAGAAAAAAATTCCGCAACTTTCGTTGATCTCGCGTTTAGGCGAACTTAAAAAAGCAAATCCCGCATAATTCATCGAACAAATCGAGTAAAATTGCTTTGTCGTTAATATTCTCTTATTTTAAAAAACCTCACGACGTGTTTCATCCACATATCTACGAATTTAGTTCAAATTGCGAGATTACGATCGTGCGAACGATCAATTTGCCGTGTAAAGAGAAACGAGGCGTTCTTGCGCGAATTTTTCGAAACTGAGAATAGCGACCGATGACAGAGATCGATGGGATTCCTTTAATTGCAGCAGGCCTGGTCCATTTACGCGACGTTTTTCAGTAATCCTAGATTAAGATGACGTAATTCGTCAGTAATTCTTAACCGCATCAGTCGCAGTGAAGATTATGATTAGTCCCAGGAAGTCTTACGAAACGAACTTGACGAAATTATTTATAATTACGCTCCGCGTATATTTTTCGGAAGAAGAATTTCGTCGTGTGTAAGGAGAGAAATTTTCTCGCAGAATTCTCTATTTAAAAAAAGGAAAAAAATTTTATTGTGGTTAAACTCGAGTCCACTAGTCATATAGCATGGAATTAATTTTCCGAGAAAAAAAAACTGCTTTCGCTTCCGTACTCCTGCACGTGCATACCGAAAATAACAGTGCATCCTCAACGCAAATATAGCCTTTGCGCGATACTGGAATTCGCCGGGCATGTCCGGAGACATGCGGGAAAGTCTCTGGACATGCCCGGCGAATTCCCGTATCGACGAAAGGCTATATTTGCCTTTCAGGATCCGCTGTTTTTTTTCGGTATGCACGTACAAGAGTACGGAAGTGAGTGCAGGTTTTTTTTCTCGGAAAATTAATTCCATGCTATATGGCTCTGGTGGAGTCGAACCTGGTTCCACAGATTGAAATATTTAACGTGCCGTCAACCATTGGACCGCTAGGGTCCTTAAGGCACTTAATTGAAAAAATGCCTCAATTTTTTTATCCTTTACGAATCTTAAGCCTTGCAGATTGTGAATCCTTTCCGATTCCCAATCGTGCAGACCATTAATCCATAAGGATCTTAATCGGGAAAAATTTCTTAACGAAGTATATATGGGACGAAGGCCGAGTCGGATTCGAACCACAGACCTTGGTGTTTCTAATTATTCGCGTAGGCACTGAGCCACGCGTCATCTCAAATATATTTATTTCAATTATTAGTGAGATAGAAGAAGCGCGGAAGTAACTCTCCGTCCCCGTTTGTAAAATCGATTGTTGAACAGTATTAAAGGCGATTATTCTGTTATCAGATTAACAAATTCGCGAGCCGGATTTAAAACACTCTAAGACTATATATATTTATATATATATATTCATATATATATATATATATATATATATATATATATATATATATATGAATAAATAGGGACACGTTTATACACTACGCGAACGATAAATTTGAATTTCTCACCTCTAACACGTTTTACGAAAATAATTTGACTCGAGGTTACACGGTTACTTGATATTCATTCCAAGAAAGGCTCGCCTTGGCAATAAGCAGGTAGGGCGTTTTCTTTCTTTTTGGAAACCTAGTCTTTTTCTCAAGTGGCTTTTATCCTGAAACATACATGCGTTATAAAAAGGATTATATGAATATTCGCGTTTTTCAGTCGTGTAAAATTCTTTTGTGCTGAATCAAAGAGAGAATCAGGGCGAGACCCCTTGGCCGCGCTGTGCTCGAACAAATCCATTGCCACCGGTATAATTATCGCAGTAACGCGTAGTGCAATTCCGTCACTTACAGCTAACGTCAACCTTACGAAGTTGAGAGAGAAAGGAAGAGAGGGGGGAAAGAGAGAGAGAGAGCGAGAGCGCGAAGGCTCGCAATTCGCCGCCCTTTCAACGATAATCATATCAAGTGACCTGACACGATAGAGGCTTATTTTTCATATTCCCGAAACAAAGACGTCGCACCGAGTTTTGGAGGATGCGGGAGCATTCAATTCAATCAAATTCGCTGCCCGTTTAGCGGAGGTAGAGGAGACACGACTGGGTTACCATATGTACTATACGTAGCTACACCACGCTTTAGTCGTTAAATATTACGGATTTATTCTTTTTTTCTTTTATCTCGCAATCGGAACAGAGAGTGGTTGTTTCCACGCTCTATTGTACCTTCTTAAAAATCGCAGATTCTTCGGCGGAGATATGTAATCGAGGATTATATTTAGGAACCGAAACCGAAAGATTGTGCGGCATGTTAAGTCTCAAGGCACAAATATACGACGTGTCATTTTTTCAATTAATGCTTGTACATATACACAAACACAAACACACACACACACCAATACATGTTTACACGCGACACAGTTGCGAGATTAATTTAATAAAATCTTAATGTGGCGTTTAATAATCAAAATGTAATGTTGCAAATTAAAAGCTTGTCAGTGATGATCTCGACAGGTTTTAGCCTGGAATTGAAAGTCTGACAATGAGATTCTTCTGAGAATCTTCATGTGAAAGAAAATGCGATAGTTCGGAGGTACGTCCCGCCGCGAAGACAGTTTGTTACATATCCGCGGAAAGTCGGTCTATCAATCCTTTCTGGAGCGTCGTAGACCGTTCGTCATTTTCTAGCATAAAAAAACTTGACTTAGGATTTTGTAAATACGTAAGCTATATCTTCCTATCGTTCATTTTTCTTTTTTTTTTTTTTCTTAATCGGAGATCGTTTCTAGTGTGAATATGATTCTCGATAGATCGTTTCGTTTTACGCTGTGGCGTTAGGGTTTTAGGACTTTGAGGAGGCGCCTCATCAAATTGCGTGATAAATCGTGCGTGAACGTTGTTAATTCGTATAATATCGTGTTGGCAGGGAGAGACGAAAAGCGATTGTGCAAAGTTGCGCAAGGGAAAGCGTGTCGTCGTCGCTTCTGGCACGCTGTCTGGCGAACGAGGGAATTGTTTCTCTCGGTTAACTAACGAGCGCTATAATATTTAGAGCAACGACATAGAGCGGTCGCTCGACGACGCTCGACTATCTTTATCATTCGCCGCAGCTGCACGATAATCGCCCGCCGTTATTACTGCGTTAGTTACACGATATTTAATTTGTTTACTATGTTATTGTTATCGCAGTTGCGTATTTTTTCTTGCTATCATTTTACCCCTTGCAATTGTCGATCGTCACACACGATCGTTATGACTATTACTTGCGTTATTATTAATTAATTAATTAATTTTGCAATCGCCGGTTTACCGTATTAATTATTATGCCGCATCCGCCAGCCGGACGAATAAGGCTTCACTCGCTAATCTACAGTATATTAATTTCGGTATGTATACGTGGGGCGGTTCACGATCCACGAAAAACTCGACAAAAAACACCGCAGAAAATAGACTATTGTACATACACAAACACACAACGATGCCAAACATTACATATTACTAGCATTACGTTTTATTATTATTATTATTATTATTATTATCATCTTTATAATTATATATATCATTATTATTCTTATTGAACGGATTACACATTTTTTCATATTAAACTAACATTGAGTTGACCCTCTTTCGTATTGTCATTTTTGTTTTTAACTTATTTGTACCCTGTTATTCCCTACCAACGTGTTCCATCTTTTTTTCACGCGTCACTGATCGTTTCTCGTGGAATTTTTCAAAAACGGAATATTCACGAAATATGTATACCGCGTGATTCTCATCTCGGGCAGTACGCGTTGGGGCTTAATTAAAGCCCCGGAACGCGTGTGTGAATTGTTATTATCTAGTCTGCAATATTTCCTGGGTCTTTAACTGTTTCGGTGTCGCTTTTATTGGCGTGAAAAATATCAACTTATTTATATCGGTGAACTATAACATCGGGCGTGTTCGTTCGGTCTCTCAAGCTCCCGACATTTCTAAAGCGGAAAGAAGGGGGTGTGCGGGGCGGGAGAGAGAATTGGCGCGCGAAAGCAAGAGGAATGAAAGCGAAAAAAGGGGGACGGCGAAAGCCGTCGGGGGTGTGGGAAGCGCGAGGGGTTGTTTCGCGCGCGAATGTGCTACGCGAGAGGGTGACGAGCGAGGAAGGGGGAGAAGGAGGGGTTCGAGAGAGAGAGAGAGAGAGAGACTCGGTCCGCGCTCCCGAGAGAATTTAAGACGGATATGCTCATATCTCTCGGGAGTGCGGGGCGGCGAATCACGGACCCCTTCATTCCCTTTAAAGAGACGCTCTCTCGCGTCGATAGCTCGGCTTTAACGAAGCGCCTCCCTCCAGCACGTAGAATTTATGGAGGGTGAAGCCACGGGGCTTTGGAGTATCGAGAATTTCTCCCCTTCGGGGGCTTTCTCCCCTACTGCACGTCGGCGCGCCTCGCTCCACCTTTTCCTTTCGTTTTCTCCTCACCCTTCGCGTGCCCGCAAAAAAAAAAAACACGTCGGTTTTTTCTCCTTTTTCCCGTTGTCTTCCCTTTTCCCTTCTGTTGTCCTTTTCGCCGCGAATGATTGCTGGCTAAAATCGAACGTGTTTTGAATAGCTCCACGTTTCGCTTTCCTTCCTTTCTTCCCCGGTTAGGGTGCATCTCTAGTGGCCTGTCGAATTTATTTAAGAGATTGTATCAATTCCTGCTTTTACTGTATATTTAGGATATCTATACAACCTGTGTTACCGAAAGATTCTTTTCTCGCGATCGTTCTTAAAACGTGTTATCCCCTGTCAATCTTTTTTTCCGTTTATGAAAGAATGTGAGACATTTATGAAGAACGTTAACTTTTGCCTCCAACTTTTCGGACCGTACCTAGTTCTTCACCCGCGATATTTTTCCACTCTATGCGTCGGTTTATACCTCCATTCTTTCTATACAGTATTTAGTTTTGCGTCATAATATTGATGCAACGAACGGCAACAAAAAGAGAAAGACAGTGGGAGAAATAGAGAGAGGGAGAGAGAGAGGAACAGCCTGGCCAAATTCAATCTCTACGGGATTAAAATATCCCTCAGAATTGTATCGCGTGGGTGGTGACGCAATCACGAGACACCTCTCTAGAGAACCGGTGAACTCTGAAGGAATAATTGAAATTTATCTTTTAAACTTTTGTGAATTTCTAATCCTTTCGCGATCGAGGACTTTCCACTCAAAGACTTTCGGATACATCCCAATTTTTTTGTACGTCACCCTCTCAAGTAGAACATAAAACTCATAATGACATCGTGATGACGTTGTCGTGACTTAAAAATCACTTTAACGCCACTTTGACCTCACTATGACTCTTTGCTCTGCTTGGGCTTCTTCCAAGGATTATAATTCAATTTAGGCTCGGGATTATAAAGTTTGAAAACGTACAGTTCTTGGAAAAAGGGTGACATATTAACTTTATAATCTAATTATATATTATTTATTTTTTACAGAGATTGTGTTAATTAACGATTTTTCCCTCTCACCCAATCGTAGAAAAATTCCGTAAAGAGTCGGAAATCAAACGCGAAAGATTAATTTATTTTGAGCCATATACACTTTTATAAATACCTATAAATTCAAACACACACACATATACTCATACATATTGTATATATAAATATATATATATATATGTATATATATATGTATTAAAATTCAAGACTTTTGTACGTTGATGCACCCTATAAAGCCGAAGATGTAAAGATTTACACAAATACATAGATCGAGAGAACATACACAGAACATACGCAGAGACGGATATATTATGCGGATATTTTTCTAGTGTCTCGTCAGTATTACGTCGAATTGAATTTCTTTCGTTTTTATGGAGAACATACCCAAATTTTGGTAATCATCTTTACGGAATTTTCGTCGTAACGTTCTGCCATAATGCATGGTGCTGCGAACACGGATACCAGAGAATCTCTATTAAATCTCCTGTAAATTACATTAGTTAGACGAATTAGAGAAATCTGAGAAATTCACTCTATGACGTCTTAATGTCTTAATGACGTCTTTAGACGTCAATTAGACGTCTTTAGACATTATTCTGCTACCTGGATAACGTCTACGACGAGTCTCCACCATCTTCGAGACTCTATACAGAATTTTTAATTTTTTTTTTCGCTACAAGATACTAATTGAAATATAATTAAAAAGCAACGTTTGTATACTTTCATAAAAAAAGGGATTGTATTCTAATGTTTATTAGGTACTAGAATGTACAGTCGTGTCTCTTTCTGAGTACTTATAAGTGTCGCTGTATTTTACTCTTCGAAGACACGCGAAAGGAAAATGTTGTATTTTTTAAAGTAATTTCGAAGACGTGGAATTTAATTCATTCTCGCAGAATGAATTCTTATATCATCGATTCCTTCTTAGCCACGTACTTTTTTTCAAAGGCATATAATTGGAGAGAAAAATATTATAAAACCGCAATAGAACTTCACGAAAGTAATGCAAAGCGCAATATTTATATTTTTCGTCATACGTAAGATCAATTTAACGCAGGTGACGTTGAATCGATCGACTTGGAATATTGCGTTTAGCAATGGGACAAAGGAAGGTACTATCGCCGCCCTTAAAAAAAATATATATATGTATACACATATGCGCATTATCTTCACAAATCGCTGCTTTATTGCCTTTCCCTCTTCGAAAACGGTCAGCGAGGCATTGCGTGAAGAATAAGGAGCGTTAGGCTATAAGTTACGTGTACATGTGTATACCAGAATACAATGTACAAAAAGCAATATTTACCGCATACCTACATATATGATTGTTACGTACACACTCGTACGCATATACGTAAAAACGATTATAATGCCCACCCTTCCCCCCTGCTCTTCTCGACTCGATATTGCTCGATTGTCGGAAATTTGCCATTTCGATTGTAAATTACACAGGTAGGATGCGCTTTGTAAGGATGCAAGTATTGTGTATATTGTATATAATCTGGTGAGAGACGAATATGTGTGAACGAAAGCGACTAAGACATTATTTAGAGAAAAGGTCGTTGTCCAAGGAAGATAATGTGTCTTACGTATGGCAAATAGACGATGAGAAAAGCTCTCACGCGATATTTCTCGTACTATACAATTAACGGTTTACGAAATAATAGGTGTGTTCTTCTCGCGTTAGAGGAGCTGAAGGTGTAATAGTTTGATAATTATTTGAGAGAGAAAGAGAGAGTGTGTGAATGAGAGAGAGAGAGAGAGAGAGAGAGAGAGAAAGAAAGAAAGATAGAGAGAAAGAGATACCGATTACAAAGTCACGAGGTCTGCTTTGTCTTGTTATAATCAAATACTTTGTATTATGTAGCACAGGTTGTCATTAAACGTGTGAACAAACCTATATCATTAAAAATCACTTCAATCAAATTGACATATATCAATCGAGATGTGATATCTTATCACCCTTTATATACCCTTATACTCGCTAGGGGAGAAAGTGGAATTGTGGGATCCGTACCAGTAGAAATGTATAATTCCAAAATTTTCTCTCGCGAATATAATACGGGAAGACATAATTTTGTCTTACCTTGTATTTTTGTAATCAAGTATTTTGACACAATTGAGGCCCCGAGTGAGACTTGTGATTAATTGACAACGGCGAGAAAATCTAGTGAAAGATTTTTTAAATTTATTTACGCTAATAAAACTACAAATTCTCCTGTATTCAAATCGTATTTCAGGTGTCCCGATTGGATTTTCTCGATCGCAGTTATTGATGGGCCGCGATCGTTTTTCTGCCGCTCATCTTCAATTGATTTATATTCCCCTTTTTCTCGTGTAACGTCTCCTCCTGCGCTTCATCGGGGTCGATCTCCACGATCGACTGCCAAGGAATTGGATTTACGTACGCTGGCTTCGCTTTCTGATGAGCTGGAAGACAACGCGTTAATTCATTTTAAAATATTTGTCAGTTATCCGTATGAAAAATTACACGGCATTGAAAACATATACAGAAAAGGGGTGATTTTACATTAAAAAAATAAGTCGAAATGTAGAAAAAACTTTTTTTTTATGAGACTTCGTTTTATAGACATTATCCACCTTCTTTTATGTAACGGAAATTAATCCGTTTAAATTACGGCGCTCGTTAGTCATAATTACAACACTAATTACGTAATTATTATCTCTAGCAGTGGCACGATGCGAGACATTCTGCAGAGAGTGATTTTTAATTATGTGCCACTATAATTGAAGATATAATAATAAAGAATCATCCTGCGCACATTTCATCTCTGCGCTCGCATCGATCGTTTTGTTATTTAGCTGCATTGTATTTTACATACGAAGCAACCCTTGCGTGGCGGGCTTGGGTTTGTTCTTAGAATTCTCTCGCCACTTCTCGTACGCTCTCGTGCTCTGCTCTAGTCTCCTCTCGCGCTCCTCGTTCATCTCCCTCTGCTTCGTCTCCTGCTCCTTACGTCGCGCTGCAAAACAGGATATATCAATTCTTATCATCGCGTCTCTTTACGAGCAGACAGGGCGCGGTACACTGTTAAATATTAAAAAATAAAAAGGAAACCAATACCTCGAGTTAAATAACATTTTGTTATTTTTAATTATTTTATTTATTTTTAATTACCACGTGTGTCGAAATTTATTATTTTATTAGTTTAGTTAAATGAACGACATATTGAATAGAAGTAATGACGACCTATATAGGCTTGATTAAAAATAACTCAAACTGATTATAATTTGACACTACGAATTTAACAGGGTAAGCCGCGCGCCGGAAGTACAACCGCCACACCCTTCTGCTCCTCTTTCTTCTTGTGAAACCACCGACGGAGATACGTGGTTTTCGCGCCGGCGAGATTGTCCTCGATCTCCTTCAGCCGCCTCTGCAATTCCAATTCGTTCTCGAGGATAGCTCTCCTGTCAAGCTCCTGCTGCCTCTTCCTCTCGACCCACTTGAGAAAGTTCTCCTTTTCTAGCCGCGTTCTCTCCTCCTTCTCCCGCGCTGCCCTCTCCTCCTCCTCTTGTCGCTTCTTCGCGGCGTGTTCCTCCTTCTCCCTCGCCTTCTGCGCGGCCTCGTGCTTCTTCCGCATCCACTCCGAATGGGCGAGCCTTCTGCTGAGGTCAGACCCGTTCGACCCGCTCGATTCGGTCGAGAACGACGTCGTGGAAATTCGCACGACCTGCCGACCGTCCAGGACGCACCTGCACATATTGTATTCTCGCTCGTACACTTTGACGTTTAATAAAAATCGTATGATGAAACGAGAAACAAATATACCTGTCCCGTTTCATCGCCTCGTTCTGATCAACGTTCGCCTCATTTCGATCGACGGAAACGCTATCAATCTTGCATCGTCGTTCCACTCGTGCGATGCTTTCGGATGAGATCGCGGACCGAGCCGTGGACGTTTCGAGGGGCAATGTAGCGTCCGGAAGGGATGTCGAGTAACATCTGTAGGTGCTTCGTCCCGGGTGCTCGTTCGCGTCATTAGCGCTCGTTGTATCCTTCGCGACGACAGACAGATCGATCGCCGAAGCGTTATTGGAATCATAACGTCGATTTGGGTCGATCACGTCTCCGTTGCGACGCCCTGCGAAAAACCAAACCCCATATTGCTCCCTCCGAATTCAATTTAGAAAAGCCTAGCTCTCAAAGACGGTTGAGAGGGTGTCCCTAATAAAATGATATACTAATTAGTATAATCGCTACGCTGCTAGTTCCGGCTTTACAATTGTCATTCTCTTATTCTTTTCTATATCTAGTCTATTCGATTCGATTGGGAATTATTTTAATCTTTCAAAATTCTAATTAAAAAAAGAATCTTTTTAAAGGATTTTTTTGAATTCTCTTAATTCTCTATTTTGGATTTGACAGCGACCTTCCCCAGCAAGTTGACGCTGTTATTAAAAACATCGTTTTGACGTTCAAATGACGATAAATAACGTCAGCTTGCTACCTGTGTCCTGCTCGCCGATGGATTCCGTATAAATGGCGGGGTTGATGTAACGAATCTCGGGGCCGGAACTCGAGTTTTTCACTCGCGTCAGAATCGCGTCTTTATCGGAATCGGCACGGTGATCGACGAGACCAAACCTCCTTCGAGTGAATCCATTAGAATCGGATCCCGTCTTCCAGCTGTCAATGCCGCTATCATTGATCATCGTTGCATGCCTTTGACGATGACTCAGTGATCGAGCCACTTATCGCTCGACGCATATTATCGCTTTGTTACGATTCAATTACGCGTAAATATTCTTACGGAAATGTCGTTGCTCGATCGAGAATCCGTTCACGTACGAGATTCATCCATGATGGATTCGATGCTGTATTTTTTGTTGAACAATGACGAATCCTTTTGAAGTATCGAGGACACCGCATGTATCGGGAATGTTTAGTAACGTTTAGTTAGGGCGAGGAGAATCTGATACAAATTCTCCCATTTACCAACGATTGCCGATTTTAATTTATAATTTTCTGGAATTCGTAATCTACTCGAAGAAGATATATAAAATAAATTTTTTACATATCCCGAAATTACGTTTACAATATTTGACTTCGAATGCTATATATAACATATGTTTCTTAAGTATCCAATATTTTAGATTTAGGAATTGATTCTTGATGTCATTTTATGAAAAGAAAAGTTTATATGAACGTATGATATCCTAAAATATTGGACAGTACTTAAGAAGCACTCTATATAACAATATAGTGCATCTTCTTACATTTCTCAAAATAACGATCATAAAGAATTATAAGTGTAAAGTAGGTTTTTAGACGAGGATTATAAAACAAAAAATGGGAAAAATAGCAAATAACAAATTTCCAAAATTTAATTCTCAGCTGCTTCAGGTTCTTTCTTCTTTTTCCAGTCATACACAGTCTTAAAAATATCCTACTTTTTCTCACTCTTGAATGACAATAACTGGTTCAGGGCACGTATTATGGAACTTTTCGGAATGGATTCGCGAGATTATTTCGTTTTCCCTAAAAGACATAACAGAAATCTAGGAATTAACTAAATGGTTCCGATATTCCGAATTATTAATTAACAGAATTATCCGTTTTCTCTAGAAAACACGTTATAAATCTAAAAAATAACTACAATTTCGATTGGAATCTATTCCAAAAAGTTTCATAATACGTGTCCTGATCTGCATTGCTTCGCTGAATCGTAAAGCTAACGCAGACCATGCGATTCATGATTCGCACCTCGTGATTCATTATTTGTATAGCATAGTAGTTCTATGTACGAGCAATATAAATTGACTGATTCGTGGTAATTTGCGCCCTTTGATTTTGTCAAAAAATTGCTCAGCTGGCATGAGTAATAAACAATGAATGGAAACTAGACGAATCTGCTTATTCATATTACTTACGAATCTCATAGCGAAATGCGAATTTCAAATCACGAATCGTTCATAGTATAGCATTAGCTTAAATAATATTGTATAATATTGTACAATTCATATTATAGTATTACATAATCATATTGTACAATTTATATACTTTCATCCTGCTTACAATGGCTATCAAATATACCTTAAAAACATTACTATTTGCTATATCGTATTTTTGATAAATTGAGATTAACAGTCGAATGATGATTTGACGAAATTTACATAAATGATCGATGATAACTTAATAAATCTTTAGACAAAAGATGTTTTAAAAAACGTTAAAAAACATCTTGCTACTTTGCTTTTGTACAAGTTTTTTCCTTTAACTCCCAACAAGATTCCCAAAACTCTTTAAGTCTATTATCTCCATTGGAACAAAAATGTCGAAAATCCTGTATGATTTTTTTCTGGAAAACTTCGTCGCCCGCCGAGAGAGATAATAATTTCCACTTGCGGCTGATCATATGATTCCAGGACCACAAAAAGCCCATCTAAAATTAATAACAATTATGATTTTTAATAGACAAAATTTGACATTAGTTTTTAAAAAATATATATGCATATATGTTGAGGAAGACTGTAATAGCTCTTAAACATTTTGCATCGTAACACCGAATATCTTTCTTCAAATTCAGAGATAACCTTTATTATTAAATCTTTACCAATTTATGCCAGTGTTATTAATTCATGAAAGTTTAAATAATCGCTTAAGCGGCTTAAGTATGCGATAAGATCACTCACTTTCCTATCTGTGCTATGATCGTCCTTCTTTCCCCCAACATGTCTGGTAATGTATGCTTCGTGCGGACTAGACTGGTCCGAATGAACTGGGTATCTTTTCTGTCCTGTATTTCGCCGTACGACGTTCGTACCGGTTCGTGGACGTGGCCGAGTATTCGTGGTGGATGGCACTAATATAAATGCGTTACCAGTGATGTGAACGTACTGACGGTCATTTTCGGTATTCTCGACTAAGCACGGCATGAAGCCGAATCTCTGTAGAATTGCTTCTTGGAATAAAAACAACCTTTGTGCGTAGGTATCTTCACGGAATTCTGTAAATTTGTATTCATTACTTTTATCAAATAGGACAGTGTTTTTTTTTTAATGAGGCTGGTAACACAATCAGATTAGTTAGGACAAACCTTCAAAGAGATGCCGCTTATTTGCCATTAAACATTCTGTATCGAGAGGTATGAAAATAGGACCTCTGAGAGGATCGCTCTTCAAGACATATGGTAGCGCTAACAGATCGCTAGGAATCGGTATCATCTGTATCCCGCACATTTGAGCCTTGCGTTGCCAAACGAATATCTTACAGACAGAGATTGATTATTAGCAACATTTCGACAGTGTAACGGAAGAAATCAGATAGGGGAAGGTAAACCGTTGCTTACCAGATCAGCCACTATGCTCCCAGATGACGCAACCCATTGTACTACGAGTTCATAAGAATTATCTACTTTGTAAATGGACTGGTATCTCAAGTGACCCCATTCGATCCTGTCACTTTTATTATTGATGTCGATATCAAGATGAGTATGTTTATACAATGGCACTAAAAGAAAACAAATTATATGTGACTCGTTTTATGTATCTCTACTTTATCGATACGAATCTTGATAGATGATTCTGTATATGATTTATATTCATTGTAAATTAAAGACTAACTTTTCTTGTATTTTAAAAGGATATTTGTAATGTCGTGATATGAAGGGCACACGCATAAATTGCGTGCTTTTAGTACCTGTCCAATTTCTATCATCCATCGGTTCGGTTAAATCGATGTCGTCTCTCAGAAAAGGTGGAACGTTGGATTCGTCAATAGTGTCGCAAGGTATTGTTATGGCAGGTACTGTCGACACTGTTGTCGAAGACGTTGGTTCACACCATCCTTTCGGCGGTCTCATTTCTACCTCCACCCACTCGTTCTCGAAACTTTGCAGATTCCCAAGCGGCGCGGAATAGTCTGCGGCTGTTACCAAAGAAAGCGATGGAATTGCGAATTGTTGAAAATTCGGTCGCATTATTTACCTTTTTGATTTTCATCCTGCACGATATGATACAAATAAAATCCCAGCACAAATGGTTGCGAGAAATCGCCGGACGCATGGCATATCAATTTGTCTTGAATCATTCCCTGTACAAAGATAAATTGTTATTATATAATTTTATTGCTGCAATAAAGCTTTAGATAAAACGTGTAATTAAAATCTTCTCTTTTTTTTTGTTTGAGTGCAATAAAATGTGCAAAATCTTTTTTAAAAAGTGCCATGAAGTTTCTGTTTTAAGCAGTACTCTACTTGACGGAGAAACTGACATATTTCTTGATATAAGATGAATTTCTGTTTTTACGTTTATTAACTATGCAAAAATATCTATAAAAATGCAATGTAAGCAATGTATGCAATATATGTAAGTTGAGATTAAATATACATGGATGATATACTTATTCAAACTCAAATTATATAATCTGCATCGAATAGATAACAAAATTTTTCTAAATCTTTACCTTCATGATATTAATACCCTGTTCGATCCCCATGCCGCCTTCTATGTGGTTGTTCAACCACTGGATCGCATCGGCGCTAACAAACGTTTGGCTGGGCAGCGAGGGATGTTGTGTTAAGAAGCCAACACCAGTTTGAGGATGTTTCATGGCCTCCAAAATTTCCACATTCGTCGCATTGCTTTTTATCTTGGTCAGCTCCTGATTTGCACTGTAATCAAGTTTATAATTACATCATTTATATATTTGATACCAGAACGATTATTCAGAAAGAATCCTTATTACTTATTTTCAATATCGAACAAGATGAGAATTTTTCCTTAAAATAAATTAAGGCGGAATCAATAACTCTTTGCTTCATAAATATCATAAACCTTATAATTGAAGGTTTGTCATAAATTGATAAGTCACCAGGTATTGATAATTGATGCGATTTAACACTGAATGTTTCGTAATTAACATACCGAATGAATTATCTTGTACATGAACATTGAGGCTCTTAAACAAAGTATCATTCAGCAAATTGATGCGTTTAGGTATTCTACTGCTAAAGTAAAAGTCATTGAAGCAAGTGACATCCTTGTACCTGTCGTCGTTAGCGTCGAAATGATCCTGCTGCTGTTGCTCGAGCGACAACGGCAAAACGGCTTCACTGGCAGGCGACACACGTCCTCTGTCCATCACTTTGGAACCGGATCTAAATCACGCATGAAAATGGAGAATATTCATTAAGTAATTGTTACTAGCATGCAGAAAGAAGATGCAGAATCTACGAAGCGATTTATATGTTAACGCTATCTAAGCAAAAATGTTTTATTCTATTTTATGTCACCTCCCCATAGCAAATTAGATAAAAACTTTACAGAAACAACGGCTCCAACACGCTTTTCTATCGCAAGATAATGTTATTCAAGTGAAAATAGATTCGTTGTTAATCTTATGAGTTTTATTTTCGCAAGATCTCAAGAATAAGAGATATACAAAATACCGCTGTTCTATTGAATATTTCTTTAGTCACAGACATAAGTTTAACTTTTATATCCTTTATGAAAAATAAATGAAGAAAAGAAATTTTTCTTGTTGGCAAAAAATGTTTATCGTTATCGTCTACCTTTTTGTCAATGATTCTTAATAAACTTCGATATATTCTTCTTATATACACATTCCGATTATCTTATAAAAAACAAGCCATTTTGTTCAAGTTAATCAAAAGTGAATTAAAATAAAAATTAATTTACTACAACAATTCTTCATTTAATATAAAATATTGCATGGCTTTGTGACTGTTTGCATACTTAGCGCATACGTGCGAGACTAAAAGAATACTCGACAGCATGAGTTTGAGATTAGAGAGCCCGTACCATTTACATATTATAAAGTAAAACGCGTATGTGTTTAATGCTCAACGTCGTATGCGAATAGTTTCGTATTCTTAATCTGACAATGAATTACGGAAGGAATAAGAGAGTGAGACCAACCTGTTTGGCACGTGGCGAGGAGTGTCGAGGCACGTGCGGGCAGCCGCAGCGGTATTCACTACATGCCTCTCCTGTACAGAGGACCAACAACCCCGTCACTCCCTCACTCACTACCAAAATGCTCACACAGAGCATACATACAAATGCCGTTAAACTTAAGCTTTTACATCTCGTTTGTCCTCGGCACGTCGTATGTATGCTCTCTAGGCTGGGCATTAATTGGAAGACAAACAGAAAAAAGATGAAAGAAGCTGAAAGATACAGAAACTATGTGGGGGGGGGGGGTCCCTCTTAGACTCTCTCGCTTTCCTCCTAATGCGTTGCACCTGCTCCACATTGAGTGACATCGAGAGGATATTAATCAAAGTGTCGCGACGGTTATTATCAAAGCCCACGATGAGCAAAAGTGCGGAGTAAGGATAATTTGTAGTATATGTAGTATGCAAAGACACTCAAGTGTGTTTTATATTTTAAAAAATCACAAAATCGCAAACAAACAAAAAAGACATGCACGATAATAGTGGAGTCGAAAAAGTGTTGTATGCACTCATGTCAGATGTATCGGTGCATCCTTTTTTTTTTTTTAATTGTGCTTCTGATCTTAGCAAGAGCAATCACCAAAAGCGTTAAACTGAAAAGAAACTGGATTTAATATAGCCATACATTAATATAAAACAATGTCAAATTCCAGGAAAGCGTCAAAGAATGGTTCACCGATTATGTTACGTTTATGCTTCATATCGTCATCACGCATTTCGGCATCAGATATTGTTCTCTGATTGTTCCTCCTTTATTTAAGTCAAATGCACTCTTGTACCGGACAAGTTGTATTTAACATAAAATGCACATGAAAATATGTAGCACTGATAAAATATAAGTGATAATATTCCGTAAAATCAATGAGCCAATTAAACACAATGTGATACAAAAGTCTCGCTCCAGTGATCAAACATTTGCCGTACATAATAAAAACCAAGCAATAATGAAAACCATCGACCACACCAATTTGGGATAGTCCACTGAAAAAAAAAGAACAAAAGAGGAGTCCGCAAAACTACGTAGTTAAAAATTGGCGCAAAGCAACAATGCTGAAATCATCAAGGTAGACATATTCAAACCTTGGTCTCGGTTTCTCTGGCAGGCGGTTGCTCCCGAGTCGCTCCCTGAAAGGAGAGCTGCCGACTAGATTGGTCTGGAAAGTATGATGACATGTATGGATAACTGCGAATGGTAATGATCAAGCTGATGATATCGTGAAAATGTATAGGTATAACTAGAATGCGATGTTCAAACATTAAAAAGTGTTGCTTAAAAGTCGCTCTCGTATAAGGCATAAGTCATATATATGTATGTATACATATATATACATATATTATACGTGTATATATACATATATATGTAACGAGAGAAGAGTGTAAATCAAACACATCATAACATCTGACGCATAACGGTTAAGCTCGCTAAAAATCATAGATGCACATTCAACGCAAAAATATATCAAGCACGGTCATAGTTATCGTGAGATTATATTGTATTGTGTAAGCTGGCCTGATCATTCCAGGTAACACGTATCAAAGAAGCGAGTCTATCGAGAAACTCGAATAGCCTTGAAAAAAATCGGGTAAAATTGCACCAGTTGGGACCATTCCACATCCAAGTAAAAAGAGGTTTTTGCAATTACAAGTTTCCAAAAGAGATGAATGTTAAATTTCTCTTGGCAGCCTGTGAGCGCTCTCTGAATATAATCTCGGAATCTTCTTTTCACTGTTGTGCAAAATTATCTTTCCTGCTGCAACTTTACTTCACTTGTATCAGTATTCTATATCGGGAATAATATATTGTGTATACAACAGTCTGTAGAGAATCGAAGATCTCTTTACAAGAAATTTTCTCTTATTGTACCGCTTGTAATTAACTAGTCGGAAGCTCGTACGAACGAGAATCCCAACAATTTGGACTCAGTGTATACAACCACTCAGTGGCTACAGGAGGGGAGGATGTACCTGGTTAGTGAGGAATATCAGGCTCGTGCTGTGCCTGCGTCTGGTCAAATGAGAGGCAGGATCTCTTGGAGGGACACCACCTAGAGCTGTGGGGCTCTGAAACATATCATGCTGAAATCCCCCTCCCCATACAAACATTCCAGCTACATGTCTCTACCTATCGCACATCTATACGTATGTAATATCGAATTTGTAAATCTTTATTTTGTAAGTAGAGACTTATTGTGACCTTGTTATCGTAATCTTAATCTGCTGTCAACGGATACGTCTAACAAATACTTTGATATGTATTTCGGAACGATCGTAATTTGTAGTATAGAGGTATAAGTATTATATCGTTAAGTAGTAAATTAATACTGCTGAGAGCCGATATCACAGTCTCCGATTAACGTGATCCTCCGATTAAACTCACTCTAACTATCCCCCTAGAAAGAGATGCAGAGTGAGTTTAATCGGAGGATCACGTTAATCGGAGACTGTGATATCGGCCCTGAATGTTGCTATTGTACATGTTATAGGCTGACGTTAACGCAAAGTGTCAAAAGAAGCTTTGTAAAAAGCCGTGCATTTCTTTTAGTTTTCTAATTGTATATCCTAGTGTATAGTCTTGTATAGTCTCTCCAGCATGTTATACAGCAATGTTTTATCTACAATTGATAGAATTAGGTTTGTCAGAGACCATTATTTCGCTAATAAGATTATATTTTATACTACAATAAATATGTTTACAGAAACTGCGTAATTCAAAAGTTAATAAGGTATAAAATAATTAACAGAAGCATTAAAATAAATCTGCGAAAATCAATCAAATATGAGCATGCAACATTCAAGTATAGAGGAGATAGTATAGAGGAGATATTCCAGAGAAAATGCAATTTTTGTACATTATTTTTTTTGTATATGTGCAAGAAAGAAAAAGAGATTGCCTTCAAGAATTGAATTTATATTTCATGTCACATATAAAATATGATCCTTATATGTTTATTTATTTTTTTAAATAATCGGAATAAAAAAAAGGGAATAAAATATATCTCCTCAAACAGCATAATTTACAACAAAACTATCAAGCAATTAAAATAAATATCACGTAGAATGAAATAACTGCAATTAAAATATGTATAAATATAACGGGATGTCCCAAAAAGATTTATATCAGCAAAATGTTCAAATATTACGCAACAAAGATTCGATAAAAAAAAATTAATGATCAAAACGAATTAAGATTGGAGAAATTTTTGTTAAAGATAATAAAAAATGTCTTCTGTATAAAGTTTTGTTACTAGTGACGCAATTATACTTTTTGGAACGTCTTCTATTATTTGTTAAACTATTATACATTTAAAATTTCTAATAAATAATTAATAATTTGGGATTAATTCATCTCTATACATATAAAATTCTATTTAAAAAATTAGAAAGGGAGTAATTTACCCAGTTTTTGTTGGGATTTGGCCGTCGTATTTTGTTCAACCACCCCTCGATAAAACGCAGGAAGCCGTCCATTAATGATGCCTGTTCAGCATTACTGAGCGGAGTGTATATGTCGCATCTTGGGGAACCTTCTAAAATTCTGCGGGTCGCAGGATTATTATATGGTAATAGAAATACTCGAAACCTCCAATATTTGAGAGCCTGAAAGAAAACATATTTAAGATCCTGAAATAAAAGGAAAATATCGAAGTTAGTAACTTTCTTAATAATGCGGGAAACCGGACTTTTGGAAATCCACTCACTTCCACTAAAGCAAAATCAGTGTGGCCCCGTGTGCAAATGTAATGGTCTAGATAATTCCAATTATAGGTCTCGAGTTTCTCTGTGGTGAAAGACACCCGCGAAACTTCGTACGTGTCGTGATGCGGAGCATGAAATCGATATTGATAGTGAATATTGAAGGGTGGGTAAGGATGCCTGCAAATTTAATTATTGCCAATATTTGTTATTTAAGTTTGCGTGTTTCTGTAACACGTTGCACTGGAGAAACACTAATTATAATAAAATTTATTCAAGTATATGTCTCATTATGTGTCAAATACAAGTTTTATATTCTTCTTATTATATACTACTTAGTATCAATTCATTCAAAAAGCTCTTGAAAGAGTTTAAAAAACTTTATATGCAAGTAAATAAAATAAACTACGTAGCTATGATAATTTAATTAAATCACGAAGTGAGATATTAACTGGTAATTAAAATTTTGGAAAAATTGACTTTTAAAAAATACGGCTAAAGACTAAGTGTGTAAAGAAGAGATCTATTAAGTTCCAACAGAATCAGTTGATTGGTACAAGATCCCAATATCAAATTATAAATTATGTAATATTTACCGTGGACGGTATCTCGTAACTGTTATAGAATTATCGAACAGTGATATTTTGTGAAAAATTCTTCCAATGCTAAGCAAATATTCCTCTTTAGGCTCGGACTCAGTCTGTCTGCCGCGTATTACCGTACTAATTGCGGGAACGGGATTGCTGCCAGTGGCGTTGCTCTGATTCTTGTTAAGTGACGGTAAAATAATTAGCTGGAAACCCTTAAATGCAATATTCGTGATTACTCCAGATACAATTACATAAAAGCGCATTAAAAAAAAAAAAACTGAGTGCTTTATTTATATAATACTTGGGCCAAGCGCTGCGAGACCAGCTCTTTAAACACTTCCACAGTTGTGAGCGGTTTCTTGTATATCGCTCGCTGTTGGGCAAAATCCGCGTTAACGTCGTCCGGGAGAAGATTGTAGTCCGACACGACGTAATCGTTTTGTAAGCTCCGCTTGTCTGGGAAGTAATCAGTAGTGATGGGCAGGCATGCAGGGATTGTTAAAGATTTCCAGTCAACCCCTGTTTCGAATAAAATTTTAAAGTGATTGAAGTGATTACAAACATCATTCTATATATGCAAGAAGAAACAGATAAGTTGCAATTTTACAATCGATATTCAAGAATATTATTTTCCAGCTTCAAAGCTTTTTAGCTCCTCTATTTTTATTTAATATCCATTTCTTCCTTATGTAGTCACAAAGAGTAGATGCTCGATGAGATGTCACTTGTTACAAATGAATAGAAATTATAGAAATCGAAGCACTGAATTATCATTTTATATTTTGATCAGGGTTGCAATAATTGTCACTACAGGAAAATGCATCAACTTTGATAGTTGAGAAATGTCAGATTTTCGAGAATCTACTGTATTGTCGATTCAATCTCCCTTTACCAGTAAAAATAATATTTAATTTGCCTTTCGGCAGAAACTACTGATATATAATTTTCATTATACAGAATGTTCTGTAGAATGTATATTAATATCAGCATAATGATGTCCAAGAAATATTTAGTAGACGTTTATTTCCGAAAAAAATTCTATTATAAAGTTTGTATGCATACATGACTTTATAATTAGTAATTCTTTGGAACATTCTGTATATTTAATTCAATCTTTATCATATACGTTCCCTATTGACAAGTTTAATTACGATAAGACACATTATTGTGTGTAGATTCCTTATCTCCCTTATCCCCCCACTCTGAAACATTTTCTAATAATACTCATGATTTGCGAGAGAATGCTGTTTACATATGATAAAGATTAAAAGTCTTCTCTCTCTCTAAATGCATGCTGTCTGACAATTATTAGTTATAATGTGCTTAATAACAAATATTCTATAGTGATATATCAATTTTGAGTTATTAAGTCACGTGTGTGTAACAAAATAGATAACTAACGGATCTAAAATAGATACACATTATCCTTTTTATACGCCGGTGCAATAAAGTTACTCGATTAGATCTACAGAAAAGAGAGAATATAATGTAATAAGCATCTCTAAACAGCTACGTATCGTAGGTATGCCTTAACTTATAAATGTGGAAAACCGAGGCTATATTGTAGCACATTTTGTCAGTGAGAGGAGACACATAAAATAGTATTTAAAAAAAAAAATAAAAATAAAAATAAAAATGCGGAAAAGTATAAGCTTTACATAAGGTAATATATATCTGACTGACGAAAACAGCAAAGGAGCAGTTTGCGAGATGCTCAGCAAAGAACAAGCGGCGATCTGTGCGGTAGATGAAAGCTGCTTACAGCGAAGATGTTAAGCTTCAACGTGGAGGAACAGGTTGAAAATATCAGGCGAAAGGATATGTGTTTTATATTATTTAAAAAATAAAAAAAAGATAATCGTTTGAAATTCTAGAAATCTGTTGTACATGCATCAGACACATAAGACAATTACGGCGAAGAAATGGTGAAGAATTGTGAAGAAACTATTTTAATAGTGACGCTTCTACTTCGGGCTAACGTCCCTAATATAGATAAACAAATGTATACCATAACCGGATCAATCCCTAATAGTATATGGCGCTAACCTATGATGGCTGTAAAACAGCATAAGTGACATCATAGTTGTACATCACACACGTATCAATGCGTCCAGCGTTGCATCCCAATTAGACGTACCATAGCATGGAAATAAACAACATTATTCGTATCGATGATCGATGGTCTTGTAAAAAAATTAATATTGGATATTTTCAAGAATGAAAATAGATTTCTTTCCTTGCGAAAACCTTTCGCGGATATATGAAATACATATATGTGGATGTAATCATCCGACGAGATACAGAGATGTGATTCTATGAGAACAGAGCGTAATTGCAAGATTGGGTTAAGCGAAGCTATTATAAAAAAAGGGAAAGAACTACTTTACTCATGTAAAATAAATGCAAAATTATAAATAAGTGAAAAAGAAAACGTATTATTGAAAAAAATGTGAAGATTTAACTTGTCATTGAAGTATATTCTGTATTACGCACAAAAAAACACATATTTCTGTACACGTATTAACAAGTTTTATAAATGTAAGAAATGACAATATTGGGATAGTATTTGCTTTCAAAATGTTTCCAAGTATTTTCATTCTTTCATAAATGTTATCAGTTGTAATGACTTATCAATCTTCTTTGATGCTGATATCTGATATGAAACAATAGCAACATGTAAGTTCAATTTTTCACTGTCACTATCTATAAACAGGAGCAAATCTGTAGTGATTTTCAACAAACCATATGTCCTAACTATTGTCTCTTTCTTTGCTGACTATATATTTTATTTAAAGATAACGTGGTATACATTTATGTGTAAATATGAAATTTATAATATAAAACACAAGAATAAAAAGGAAATTAATTTTGATTATTTAGAGCCATACTATTATAATTCGAAGCTAAAACCACAGGAGCACTCCTGCTTATTATACATATATCGATATTTATATTATATCAAAATTTCTGAGTAGGTAAAATATCGTACGTGATAAAGCACAATACATAAGAAGCATTATGTATAACTTATGGATATTGGATACTGGAATTATATGTGTGTTATGTGTAATGTAAATAACTTGTTACTGAATTGAATATTTTTAAATCTTATCATTCACAGGATTATTCAGGAATTCTCTCTTTTAGACTGTAAGCTTATTGATAATTACGCTAAGTCGATAACTTTGTTGCATTTTTTTAGGCCCTATAATGTATTACAGAATAATATTAAACTTTATAATATACATATATATATATATATATTTAAAATCATTCAAACTACTTTATATTATATTAAACCTTCCTAATTAATAATGTAGTAATTATAGAAAGAATAATGTTAAATAAATGTTTGGAGTAATAATATATAATATTTCTATTATTTCCCGCAAAATGTATAGATATAAATTCAGAGAATTATTAGAAATATTAAAGCAAACCTGTTGTTAAAGCAGGCGTCCATTCCTGCTCACCAGTAGCACCCCACAAGAGAGTAAGACTCTTATTCACCATAGCTGAAGGATTTGCAGCTTTATCTCCATTAGTTACAGAAGGATTAGGTCGCAGTAACTTTCCTTTTGTGTCTGTAAGACCATGAAGTTTATTATCTATTGTATCTCTCATATTTCATACCTTACATATGCTCTAATTTAATAATACTAAATACTAACGACCTTGGAATCCTATTTGAGATGCCGATCTTGAAATCTGATTTGAATTGCTTGCCCCAACTTCCATCGAGGGTCCACCTATAGTGGCTAATGTAGTCTCACTTTGTGACTCCAATGTTTGCATTGGAATAGCTTGATAGTGATGTTGCTGTATTAGAACTCCTGTAGGCCCTACGAAATTATATTAATATAACTTTGATAGATTTTACATATAAATTTATGTCATCAGTGGTTTAATATATTAAATAATATGTGCAAAATATGTGGTAATTGGAAAGTTAAAACTAAATAGTTATTTTCAACAACTGATTGTTGATTGTTACCACGTATGATTTACTATGTATATATGACATTCAGTACATTTATAATTACATATACATAAAACAAGATAAAGAAAATCAATTATATTTACCGATATAAAACGAGTGTAATAATTACCTTTTGGAAAGATGTGAGTCCACCGTCGTCTGTTGCTGGTAAGTTTAATGGTAACATGTGACGGATCGAAAGGATTGATTAATGCCCTACCAGGCCTAAGTATATTCGTCGGTTGAGAAATTGAGTTCGTTGGACTACCAGCGCTACCAACAATAGGTCTAAACGGCGGAGATATCTCGGAGTCTGTTAAGTCGTTTTTCACCGGCGTTCTGGATACACCTAATAAAATTATCACAGATATGTTGTAATAAATATCTCAATGATATAATCAAATTATTATCAAACATGTATATGTGCTTGCCAGTTTTATCTTCATTAGATTCAGTGTTATCGTCATCTGTTTTGTGCGGTATCGTTATTGCAGCACTCCGTAATGACGGTGAATGTGTTTCAGGTGGTGGATGATGTATATCAGGATCCGACATTTTACGTTTCAAAAGCTTTAACAAATGGCCATTATTATGAGTTTCAAGGCACACCACGCTCGTCTTTTTTCTCCTCGTATTTATCCTTTGTACACTGAAACGACAATAAAATATACGTATTAATTTAATAAAGTAACAATAAAAGACGATTGGATTTATCTATGCCGAATTTTACTATAATCTATATTTCTGTTACAAAAATAAAAAAAAAAAGAAAGAGAGAACATTGTTTTGTTGTAGTGCTAAAAGATATCGCATTTAGCTTATTTACCTTGAAGTATGAACTGTTGGTAGTTGGAACACTTGTGCATCATAAGCATCATAATCGAATAACGTATTATGTAAACATTCTCTTGGATCTTCTTGCAAAAGTCTAGTTTTGCAATGTAATTTTTCATTATCCGTCAGATGTTTCGACACCTTCTGCGGCAGCTTTATTCGTGGAATAAATGTGGAATAGGGAATCTTTTTGTTCGTGGAATAGAAACTGAGATTTATCCAGTGAGGCATGCTATAGTCATCTGGTGCATTTATAGAGGAATCTTTGTTGTGAAACTAGAATCAAATATTACACACATATTACTTGTATATAAATAAATTAGAAACACAATATCTATACATATATATATGTATATATTTGTACTTATATTTTACCTTCAATAACGGAACTGCATGAAGTGGCTGTTCCCCAACGCATACTAAATCACTTCCTACACCGTTGTCGATGATTCTCTGCTTTGTCACATTTGTCAGCTCTCTGTCAACCTCAAAGACTCCAACTCCAGGTGTAATGACTACAGATAACTGACCAGTCCTGTCAAAGCTGCGATCCAAGTAGTGTTTTTCAAAAACTGTAAAAATATCATGGATAGAATAAGATGCAAAATAGACAAATAAATTACTTAAATGATTTGGTCGTTCCTCACTTACCGTTTAAAGACATATTCAACACTTCCAAAAAGTTGCCTTGCGCAGCAGTGGAATTTACCGCCTTAGGCATATTAACACCTGGCTTCTGGTGATATTCCAAGACAATTTTTTGATAATCAGTAAACAATTTGCGCAGTTGCACCAATATATTACTCCAATCCTCAAATCTTTCATTCTGTACCGCAACTCTGTAAAAATCTTCATAAAATCTCCCTCTGTAATCGTGCTGCAAACACTCCCTCATATGATTTGGAAATTCCTCCAAACTGGTCGCATTGTAGAAAGTTCTCGAGAACAGTACTATAGTAACTTCATGATTGCTGCTATTCTTTTTCCACTTTTGAAATAGGTCCGCTAAGAATCCATTAACTGCCTTCTCAAAGTAAAGATCTCCGTGTATATCAAAATCCCACATTTCAGAGCTCATTTGAATGAACAAGTATACCATACTTGTAGAAGATCGAAACACTACCTAAGAAGAATCGGATCTTTTATAACAAAGATAAAGGGCAGACATTGGAATAATAAAGTACCATAATATTGCACAAACTTTAGTGTCATCAGTTATGACGCCGCAGGCAACACGATCGCCCTGTGACCACATCTCGTACACTTGACAACGTATACTACCGCTGCAAAACTCTATCTTCTTATTGATGTACACGCAAGTGTTTACCTAAGAAGAACATATATAGATTTTTTTTTTGCTCAGAGATACAGAAGAGATCAATTAGCAAATGTGAAATAAAGGAATAGGGTACCAAGCTGTTCTTCAAACGCCACATTTCACTGCGTCCCATATACTGATCCTTAAACGTCAATTCTATGGAATCTAGGGCCACGTCGTCCGGGTTTACTATGTTCATGTATACATCGGCGAACGTTCGCAGCTGAAACATCGACGCTACGTTATTCTCCACGCTGATGGTCTCGCGACCCTGTAGGTCCTCCTTGAAGGAGGTGACTTGTAACAGCAGGCGGCTGAACTCATCGTCGGGATGGTAAATCTCAACGACATCGCCGGTCTTTATGCCGGGATAATCCTTCGGGTTGATGATCAGGTCCTCCCCGCTGAAGTTCTTTTGATGCACTATCAGCTTGAAAAGCTTCATGCTTGATGCGGCATTCTGGATCTGCGGAATAAAATTTCGAGCCATATACCAATGGCGTATAAATGTAATAATTAACAGAGCGATTCGCCAGGTCAACTTCGCAAAGACGATTCAGTTATTTATGTTTGTTTTTCTTTTTTTTTTCCCTTTAAATTTACATACGCTTATGTCATTACAGTAATGGTCCTATTGGCGAACAATTGTGCCTGGCGACTGGCGAGGTGGCGAGACGTATAATTGATTGTCGGCAAGTAGAGGAGGAGCTGGAGAGATGAAGCTGATGAAGGGCATTGAAGGGCTCCTTCTCTCTGGCTCGAATCTCGAATAGGCTGCAAATCACCAAAAGTTTGGTTATTGGTTGCCCGTTGAAATCAGAAACAGTACACGAGGCGACATCTTTCGGATCACCGAGGAATCGCGTTTCTCACCCACAGTCGATAAAGAAGAGCGTCGTCGGTAAAACAGGTAGCTTCTTGTCCGGCAGGGTCCATTAATTGCTACTTTAGCGGCTCAGTGAGCGGTCGTGCTTCTGAATTCACCCAATGACAGCGTTTCGTCAGAGAGATTCGAAATTCGAAATGACGAAGTCTCCGGGTAGCCTAGGAGTCTCGATGATCGCGAGAATCGTCCTCGCGATCGCTCTTCTTTTCCCCTTTTTATTACGTCAGCCTTGCTTTTACGCTACGGGTGTGTATATGTGTATGTATGTACTACGTGTATTAGTTTTAATCTTTCCTTCCTTCCGATTTACGTTTCTATCTCAATCGTCAGTTGACTTAATTGTACACGATATAGCTATATTATACAAAATATGCACTTCAAAAACGGCGCGTGTGTATTTTTCGTTACGTTAATAATAGTAGCGGTATACTATAATTGCGTGCAGTTACGATACTAATTACGACCTAATAGTATTTGAATTATTAATTATTAAAACGATTTAAATTCAAGCGGCGCTCCGTCCGAGAACGCAAAGGGGCAAATGAAACTTATATTCGTACTTACAATTAGTGGTTAATTATTACTATTCTTGTAAAATCAATGAATGGGATAATCAGGCTCGATTATAAAAAGTATTCCAAGTAATGTATATTAATAGAACATGCATTTATAAATTGACAGGACTATTATCACAAACATTTCCTATAGAAAAATCAATTACACGAGATAATTTATAATTATGATACAATACTTTATTGATATAATAAAATTACTATTAACAAAAACTTATGGGATAATGATTCTGAGAATATTTATTTTTCTCACAAAAGCGCGACGATTTTTACTTTTATATAATTTCGGGTTTATTCGCTATAAATATTATAAATCGATAGTTTATCTTATCATATTAAATGCATTAATAATTCTCATTAAAACACTCACAGATGTCTACATGTATTTCAGATCATCGTGACCGCTAATATAAATTCATCTAAAACTGGTTGTTTAATTTTACTCTTTTAACCGTTTTGAATCATGACGTGATGCTGAGGATAATTCATTTAACGAAAACTCCATTCGTTTTTTTTATTAAAACTTTCACGTAAGTTCTCTTATATACATATAGATACGTGTATAAGTTTTTGCTCAAGTATCAGAATTCAGAATCATTGACAATTAAATAATCATCGCGGTATATATATATATATATATAAATGTATGTATCATTGGCCGCGTTCAGGAAACACAACTGTTGAGTGAGCGCTCATTATGATTGGTTCTTACACTTAGATCCGGAGTAGAACCAAAGGTAAGAACCAATCACATTAAAGAATCACTGACCGCTCACTCAACAGTTGTGTTTCCTGAATGCGGCCAATATTATCAATCTACACACTGTGAGTAAATAAAAAAATGATGAATACAAGATGCAATATTAAAACTGTAATGTAACCGTCAAAAGGAACAAAGATTTGCCTCTGTCATATAATAGGATTGTGAAAGTTTTACTGTCGCACCATTTTCCGATGGCACTGACAAATTCGTGTGAAAGTTTCAATTGGATATGGATCTATAAAGCAGCCTCTAATCTTTTTATCTCCCTAGAGATTTCCGTTTTCCGCGCGAGTTTGTCGAGTATCTCCTTATCAGGATTTTTCAGAGCACCAGTTTTGATTTTATCCTCTAACATTTCGATTTCCCTAATTTTCTTCCGAAGATTTTTCAATCTTTTCTGCGGATCGGCCGTCGTTTTTTGCGCGGCGTTCGAATTGTCCTTAGCTACATTGTTTGTCGTGGTTTGTTTCGCAGTAGACAGCGGCTTGTCGGTGTGGGGGGCTGGAACTTCTTTATGAAATTCGGGCTCTGAGATCGTGATTTTGGACAACCCTTCGACGACGGGCTCCACAGCTTTAGACTTGCTCTTCTTCTTCTTCTTCTTGGATCCCTCTTGGGTTTTCGCTTGCGTGCCGGGTATCACTTTGTTCTTCGCCGCTAAAGCCTCCATCTTAGCTTTATGTTCGGCTATAAATTCTGGACTCGCGCCCACAGGATACAAAGGCTTCTTTATCAATTGCTTTCCTTTGCTCTCGTATCTGCAAAGGGAATAACAAAACGATAAGAAATGTGATGTGAAACAAAGTCACCGTGTAATATCAAGATATTAAAGAACATATATCGCGATTACTTACAATGGGACCTCTTCCTGAGGAATATATCCATCTTTCACACGTCGTTGCTTGCGCCACGTGCCATCGGGTCGTTGACTCGCGGGGATAAACGTACCTGAAACAATAACAGAAAGTTTCAGTCGCAACGTTCTTGATCACATTTCTGCAAAATGTTGACGTTGGCCACTTATAAATTTCAAGAACATCTCGAGTGTTGTATTAAATTAAAAAAAAAAAAAATACATTATAGTTAACGCAAGTGCGAGAATTCTAGCAGGGTAATCACTGTAATCAGCCAAGGGAAAACACGCCGCGACGTTCCGGGACACGTGAAGACTCCCCGAGGTTGACCCGGCCTAACTATAGCGCGTGGAAAAAGGGAACGGTCTATTATTACACGGAAACCGATCGTTTTACACTTGTTTACAACGTCCGAGGTTAGAGCCGGCGCGGTAACGCGGCCGCGGAGTACGCCCGTTCGCGCGGCGCGGCGAGCGATCGGCGCTTACCCGTCTCGTCCTTGATGTACGTCGACGCCATCGCAATTGCTTCGCGGGGAGCGCGCGTCCGCGAAAATTGTAAATAAAATGTAAAAAGTCCTCGACTATCCGCGTGCCATTCTGCAGCCTCTTGTATGCGGAGCGGAACCCCTCCGGAGCGTGCTCCTGTCTCCTCCGCTCCGCTCCGCTCCGCTCCGGTGGCGTGCGGTGCGGGTCTCGGTCGCGAGGCGCGCCCGACAGGTGTCGCAAGCGGCCTCGTTTCCGAGTCGCGCGGCCCCGGCCCCGGCCCCCTCGCACGGATTTAATTAACGCGTCACCTCCGCCTGGGACCACTGGGACTGACTGGGACCGTGAGAGCAGCTAATTTGTATAGATGGTAGAGGATCCGAGTTTTTACAAATATTTTATGTATCTTTGTTTTTTCTAATTCTAATGGTCTTCTGTAACACAATGAATAAGCCTGTGTATATATACTTTATTTTACTATTATTATTATACTCAGATGCGAAATTTTGTTTGAAGTAGGTATCCCTACATTTTGGTATAATTTGGTTTAAACTTAGATATATATTATCTTTGAGAATTCCACCTTTGTAGATCTTACGGGGTGTGTATTTACACACGGTTCCTATTAACATTGTAAAAAAACGTAACTGTATATAAATATGCCAAATAGACCTGTTCCTCTATTGGCTGTATTATTTTTAATTAAAAAAGTCCAGAGATTTTTATGTTTGTACGTCTGAGAGATAGATGAGCCTTTTTCTACAATGATCTATAAGTTTACACCGATCTCTTGATACGCGTATCAAAGAATATATTTGAGCTGATCAGCCAATAATCGAACTAATTTACATAGTTATTTAATTACTATTTAATACGCGTATCAAGTGATCGGTGTAAACTAGGCCAGTGATTGAAGAAAATTATATTCGCGAGGATTAAATTTATACAAAGATTAAAGTTATAAAGGATGGTAAAAAAGATTTTCGTATTATCTTATATTTTTAAGAATTTTTTATATTTGAAATTTATAAAGATTAAAAAAAAATACCTTAAATTTCTTTAGATTTTATAAGTTTCCTTCGAAAATGTAGAATAAGAAATTTTCGAACATTTCAAAATTAAATATAAAGAATTGTATAAAAGATGTGGACTTTCTCAACATTGTTTAAGTGTTTCAATTTGTATCTAAGAAATTTTCTAAAAAGTTATAAAATTTATAAAGAAGTCGAAAAATTATGTGAGAAATTCTAAGAAATTTTTTTTATCAAAGTAGTTTAGGATTCTGTAAGCAAGTCAAGATCAATTAGGCTTCGTCCTAGGGTCTTTCATGTAATTTAAAATAAAAATTGAGATTCGATCTGCGAGTTGAATTTCGGACCTGCGTCACGTGTCATTGCGCCGGCTCAAAACGGGAGCTCTATTTTACTAATTGCACGATTGACGCCAGTACAGGATGTTTTTTAGAGTGTTGTGTGCACTTCCTCTCATTCGTTAATTGTCACGAAGACAGAGTTGACCTTCCCCACGATGAGTTTGAATGAGAAGCTTTAACTTTTTACACTTGGCTTTAGAAATATCTGGAGTGCACTAGCTTCTTTCAAGATACTCGAGAAAAATAAAAATAATATAGATACTTTCAACAAAATATTTTAAAATATATGTAAGAAATGTAAACATTTTCTTTTGCAGAGATTATGTTGCAAAATAGTTTAGTGTGTATATTGCCGTTTTTTTATTTATCACAATATAAAGAGATTAAAAAAAAACAAATATAAATAAATGAATTATTTAACATCGTTTTTTCTCAAAAAATACATACATATATTTGCTCTTATATGATTAAAAGTCGAAAAACGTTTTACAGCGTTAAGAGTTTATTTTGAATAACATTAATATTAATTTGACTAGCAATAATTATTTTAAATATTAATCATTAAAAAGCCTAAGCTATAAATTGTTTTTGAAGAAAATAAAAGATTAAATTTCACTTAAAAAATATAATAATATAAACAAGGAGAGTTTCAGGAATTTTATTTAGCAAACAATTTTGATCTTTGACTTTTTACGGGGCATTTAGAACAAGGGTCAAGGAAACAGGGCCGCGGATAAGAATATCTCGGCGTTGATTCGAGGAGTCGCGAGAAAACGTTCCCGAGGGCTACCCCTCGATCTAGCCGGGCTGCTTCCGGGGATGCTGCGCGCGCGCACCGGGGGTTGCGCTCCGCTTTCATCTCGCAGTTTCGCAGCCTCCCTTTCGCGACCCGTGTCAAGTCCACCGCGGCTCGATCGGAGGTGTGTGTGCAGTTTCCCCGTGTCTCGTTGTCCCCGGATACACCGGGACGTCCGGCCCGGTTACGATCGTTACTTTGTGCGGTCCCGGATCTCGGGATTCCTCACCGAATCCGCTCGTCCCTCGCTCCGTCTTCGGGTCGTGCACGATCCGAATGCATCGCCCCGCGCCGGAAAATGGAAACCGCAATTGGTACGTCTCAAACGAATCCTCGTCAACCAGTGCCTCGCCTTTGTGCGATAATCGAACACGGGTTTCGATTAGGGGAAGAGGTAGATTTATTGTACCCGATTTCTCGTATACGCGTTTCTCATACTCGTTCGCGACGTCTCTTTAAAGGTCACTGCATGTTAGATGAAAAAAAAATGGAACCGCGCGTCGCGTACCGTTCAATAGATATAAGTTCAAAGGCTGGTCACTTTCTAAGGTCACACACGGGAGCAATGCAGCGGATAGACTTAAAAAAGTCTCCTGATTGTGACGCCTGTACGGGGGGGTCCTGGCTTATGTAATCATTGTTAAGCAGCGAATGATTCTAAGAAGTTCACGGCGGTCAATTAATGCAAATATATTTTGTTGCATCGCATTTTGCATGAATTTACATATGATTTTGTTCCAGTTACGTACTTGATAGATGTGGAAACGCATGGATGAATTGGGGGAAGCATTAAAATTAATTTATAAATCTAAATTCCATAAAATCCTAGTTATTTGATTTTATTGTTATTAAGTTTAAATCACAGTACGAGCACGTGATTAAAATAAACGATAGAAGATGAAAAAGTAGCATATCCTAAAAAAATTATACAACGCAGCACTAAGCTAAAGATAAATTTGGGATAAATATTGAATAGGCACTTTATCAAAAATGAAAATGACGTAACTTTCTATTAATATTGCATTTCACTTCAAACTATAAAGTTTTTTGGAGAAAGGCAAAAATAAAGTCGAAAATACACAAGGCCGATCTTTCACAAAGCAATAATTTAGATAGAACATAAAAATATTTCTATTTTGTACAAATTTTTGCTTTGAAAAACTTGCTTTGCACATTTGTACAGTAACGTATAGGAAATTATATTTAATTTTTAATATATTATTACTTAGGAATTATAGTAAATTATAAGAATATTGTATGATTCTAAATTGAAAAAGCGCGGGCTAGTTTCAAGTTTTAAAAAGACAAAGTGAATATTAAAATTGTATGAAAATAGAATAATGCAAATATAATTCTCTAGTAAAATTTTGTATACATATTGTGCAATTTTGCGATTAAGATCTAATTAAAACATACCTGCACAATGAGAGAGAAGAAAGAGAAAGAGAGGGTCGGAGAAAAGAATAATGAACAAAAAAGTGTTTATTTTTCCATTTTTAATTTTACATTTTTCCGTCGTTCCGCTTGGCATCGAGATAAAAATTGTAATATCCAGCTGAGTTTTAATGCAAATTGCATAATAATACAGGGATAACGAATGTACATGCGAGCGTGAGGGTGCTGAATTTTCAACTAGTCGAGATAATTGTGTAAAGCAATTTGGATTCCGAAGTAAATATTTAAAATGATCGCGATCGCCTGTTGCGGATGCCTTGCAGCCGGTTGAGGGTTGTAAACAGGAGAATCTAGAAAAGAGCTGCCGTGACGCGTCGAACAGCTTCACCCAAACTGCGGTCCTGGACCTTGCAGCCTCCTCCTCCTCCTCTTCTTCCTTCTCCTCCTCCCCCCTCTCCCATTCCCCCATTTTTCATCGGACATTGCACCGATGCAGGCGAGGCGTATATGAGAAACGACTGCCTCGTCGCGCCAGAAGATGGGATCGTCATCCGCGGAAGGAGAAGCTGACTTATGATCCGGACTATTCGCCGTCCCTCCCATCTCCAGGAGTCCCGCAATCTGCCGCGAAAGAGTCCCGGAAAACTTACGTAATTGCTGCGGCATCCTCCGCTTCTCTACGACAGTTTCTTCTTACCGAAATGTCCGTATAAACTTGTAACGCTAAGCTAAACCATCACGAAGCCAGAAAATAGCGAAAGAACTCTACATAACAATGTTATTTATCCCAGAATGCATAATTATATCCATAGCAAAATTTATGTATATGTATTTTTACAGTAATATTTTTATTTTCCTACAGCATTTTATAATAGCATTCTCACATAGAATTTTCTTATATCAATTTTCTTATATTCTTATATTGGTTGATTTCGCACTTTGAAGACCGCTAAAGACGCGAAAATATCTAAATGCAGAAGCATAATATAAGTATTTTGACTGATAAAATGTATATTCCGCTAAGAATGTTGTTATAATTAAATAACCATGTGCAGTATAGAATACATTCTGCTAAGAATTTTGCAATGTTAATGCTCTCGTCGGTCAAAGTTGTTTACGCGTTATGATTTTATAATTAAATATATTCGCGTACAGAGAGTAGTTTACACCGGTGCCGGTGGGACGGAGTAGCGCAGAGGTTGCGAATATTCGCATCCCATCGAGTTAGCGAATACCGTATATACAAAGGCACTATACGGGGTGCGCGCGGGACCGCGGGATTACTTCGATTTTTACTTTATCGCCCCGCAGTCCCGAACAGGATAATCCGCGGTGTTACGAGAACCGCGATGCAGCGGGCACGTTTAACGCCAGATTGAACTTTATCCCCGCATATATACCCTTGCCCTCGTTGCATAGAATGCTGCCGGCGCGCGCGTTGCTACGGTGCACTTTGCGAGACCGAAGCCGAGGTCCGTCAAACAGGCCACGGCATGCATATATCGCAGCACGCAGCGGCATTATGCGCGCTACATAGCGTATCGAGTACATCGAATATCCATCGCCCGACGACGACGACGGCGCGCGGCGCCGGCGGCCCCATCGTCGTCGCCTGGATGATTTTCGCGGCGTGTCGCTTGCGTATGTATCGGCTGGCATAATCGCAGGCTTATAGCCTACATAAGGCGCTTACAGTACTGTGGAATCTTGAAGCGCCTATCTCCCCGTACAAGATGCTCCGAAATTTCCCGTAAACCGCGATGATGGCCTCTTTAGATTGTACGCGCTCGGTCTCTCTAGCAAGAGATTATTAAATCTTAACAGTTATCAAAATGTTAGCTCGATGATTAAACTTTAGCTAGAATTGAAGAGTTGGCTCAAAGTTAATTAAATGTTCTGTTATTTTTAAAACTTTTCAAACTTGATTCGATCGTCGACCTTTGAAGCTTTAATTTATTACTTATTGATTGTAGAGTATCTTAAAGGTAGGGCGAAGAAATCATGTCGTTTTGCGTTTAGAAAATTGAAAATAAAAGTATGTCACAAATATTATACAACTCTGAGATCGTACTTTTAATTAACCAGAGAAACAAAATTTGTTGCAGTGACGCATCCAGATTTGCCAGAAAGAGAAGAATAAATTTTACGACAGACGGCCATGCGAATAGTGAGAAGGCAAACGATAAGGACGAGAAAAAGAGGATCAAGTGAATGCAGATGAAGAAGATCGTTATTCTGTAAATTTTTTCCCAATGTAATTTGTAAGCCGCTATTTTTTCAACGTATTATTTGACAGCTGAAGCGCGAGATAGAGCGGCAAAAAGTACGTTTAATAATGTAAGGAAAGAGTCGGGACAGAGAGGTTTTTATCTCTTTATCACCATGTTTTTAACATTGCATTTGATATCGTTACCATTTAAAGTAAAGGTGACAGAACGACGATCTCGTACCGCATTAATAGTCTAGTTCGACGTGAAAGCTCACAAAGATGAAATGACGTGCGTGGGCGATTGCATGTATATGTACATATATATATACGCACGCACGTGAAAATGTAAGGCTCCTACGCGTTTCCGATGCATTAATCTATCAGCGAGCAATTTCTGCGTATCTTTTTGAAGCGAGAGAGGGAAAACCGAATTAAATGCGATAGATTGACTCGCAATTGGATTAGTCGTGGTAGCGAAATGTCAAAGGGAGACAGAGAGGCGGGATGATCGCGGAAACAAAAGATCAAACGCACGCGTAATCACCCGTGCGTTAGCTTTGCCCTTGGGCCCCTTGCCGCTCATCATTCTACGCGATCGACGCGGATTCGCTTGGACCGATTGGATCTCTTGGGTGATGCATCGGGATGGCGGAAACGATAGCACAGAATCGTACAGCGTACGACAGAACGACGACGGCGGAAAAGCTGAATCTCACGTCGATGACATTCCTTCCTTCCAACGTGGTCGCGGCCGCGTTCAACGCCGAGACGACTAATCCGTCCGCAGCGATGACGGGCGACCCTGCGGTCGTCACCACTATCAAACCTCACCATCGCGTCCACAACGTGACGGAGTATCTCGTCGAGCAAGACGAGCTCGATCACAGTAAGTAGCACGGTGTACCGCGAAGAAAGCTATATATAAAAGTGTTTGATAAAGACAGCGAAGTGTGGGTGGCGTCGCCTCTTCACGGTCCGAATTTTAATTAATTATGCATTCGAAAGGTTTAAGACGTTGGATTTTCAACGAAGCCGTCTTGACGCATCTCTTGACTGTATTTCAAAGTCGGCCGACTTAAAGTCACTTGGGAAATGTCGTCTAGCGAGGGCCGGGAAGATTCAGGAGGATGTCTGTTTTCAGATAAACTTATCACGACAAAAATTCAATTCTACCCGGCAAAAGCTTAATCCTGAAAAATGTGATGGAAACTAATAAAGAAAACGATATTTCTATTTTATGAAGTTTACTCATTTGTTTATGAGAAGTTTGCGTTTTTAACTCTTCCGTTTATAAATACTGAAAACAGATTTTTGAAGGAATCGTTTTTTTTTTTTATTCAGTTGTGCCTCGAAAAGGATTCGAAATAAACCGAGACATTAGTGTGTAGTACCACCAGCGTCGTTGTGAGATAATCGCCACAGATTTATTTATTTGTACATATCCGTTTCTGTCGATACGCCGTGCGCGATACGAATAAGCTCTGACAGGATAATCATACGAAAGGATCAGCTAGTAAAAGATTCAAGTTATTATCGTATACTTTCGCTTCAAGAATTTTATGATTATTGTATTTCAGGTATCCTTGCCAACTTTTCAGACATACAGACCGTTTTGCTTGCATGCATATCGACGTTATTACCGCTGATCATCGCCTTGGGGATCGCCTTCGGCGTCAGGTATGCTAATTTTTGCTTATTGCGAAAGAGATACGCCATCCGCGGAGTGCCGGGCCGGTCGGTTATTTTTTTTGACACGCACAGCCAGCTATATGTTTTTCTAATATGCGTATCAGGCACGTGTGGCGAAAGTATCGGAACGACAGGGACAGCGGGAACGGTTTACCCTGGTACAAGAACGTCTGCAACCGCGATAATGCAGTCGAGTCGCAGCATCATCATCCGCATTCCGGAAATGTTCCCGTTGAGGCTGCCACGAGGGTTCTCTCCGCACAAGACGTAAGTTAACGATATTTTAACAACCTTCCCAAGCGGGCAAGAAAAATCTTGTACGAATAGAATATTGCTACCAACGGGGATCATCGATCAGCATACTTTTGGTCGGACGAAAGTCGCGCGCGACGTAGAATTTGATAGAATTTAATCAGATATAAATTTCTCTTCATCGATAAAATTACGAGGTAATTGTATTAAGAATGTGGACCATGTTGTAATAAAAAAAGACTTACTTAGAATAATGATAAAACCGCACGCGAGACCCCTTTGCTAATTGGGGCAAGATTTTTCGTAAGTCGCGAGAGGGAAGACCGGCGAGTAGCTTGAGAGGAAATCTAGGGAGAAGTGCTTAACACGGCTAGCGCGACATGAATACGTTATGAACTTTAATGGAATCGATACTAGCCCGTTTGATCCTCGTATGTGCATGCTCGATTAGCTTACATAATACGGTAACCACGCAAATACCGTCGGCCTTGGTTTAAATCTTGATGCTGTGCCGTAATAGGACATGCGGCAAACATTTACGGAACTTGCCCCAGATTGCACGATGGGGACGTAAGGATGTACGTACTGTACGTATACAATTGTCACGGTTGTTGCGCCGAACCGAGTCCGCGCGGCTCCCTACCGATCGCACGTGCAAAGCAGACATTATATAGCGACCGCGAGGAGCCGAAATCTATGGCTACGGATGTACCGTTATAACGCTTTGCATTTAATAGCGATGCATCGCCGCGCTGTGTTGCGCCCATTCGTCTCGCTTGACCCTTTCGGTTGGCGGATTCCTTCCGGCTAAAAACCTCCTCGTAAAATATCAACGCGCACACGCTTGTCTATATATACAATTCTCGCGTAATTGAGTCCATGCTCGATAAATTCAGAATTCAAATTCGACCGAGATTTCGTTACATTTTACAGTACCGCATATTGAGATTGAGTTAGAATTTTAGATTGATGTTGAAATAAGAAGATATTACTTTAAAGATGAACAACTTTATTTTGAAGAAAATTTAAGATTGAAACGTTATTTTTTCGCATCATTACCGAACGAGTGTAGATTGAGTCCTGCCTATTTAAAATTAACGTAACTCGTCTTCGTATGACTCACTATTTGCAAACTTTGAACAATATTTTTTGATTATTCGAAAACTTTAACGGTGCAGAAAGAATTAAAGTTATCAATTCTTTATATACAATTAAGTTATTTATCATTTCCCTCTTCTTTGAAATATACCCTTGGAAATTTTAATTTTAGTAAAGTTAAAAATATCTTCTTGTTTATTAAAAACTCTAAACTTGATTTATAATCACCATTATTTTAAAATAATAGAATTCTAATTATGGGTGATTAGACTTTTTAAGTTGGAACATACAGAATATTTAGGAGCTCATTAATCTACACGGATATAATTAGATCCCGAATAAATTCTAAATTTCAGAGATTTATAATTACCTTACATTATATTTTAAAATAATAGAATTGTTATTGCGGGTAGCTGTCTTAGATTTTTCGAGTTGGAACATACAGAATATTCAGAAATTCATAGAGCTCATTAATCAACACCAGATATAATTAGATCCTGAATAAACCACGATACCGAGCGGCAAAAGTTGATTTAAATTAAAAATGTTAACGATAGCCGGAGGATTCGCGAAATTTGATCAAGTTGTTTCATAAATATCCGAGTTTCTCCAATTTCTCCAATCATATAGCTGCAGTTCCAACTTTTATTTTCGTATCCGCAACAGTCCTTCGCAGACAGAGTTATAACAGATCGCGTTCACGCATTGTGCACGTGGCCAATAAATTCGCGTTTGCTGAGCCTACGTAGAGGAATCCATTAACTTTGCCTACCAATTGACGACGCATGCGGTGCATATTGTTCGAGCTGCGTGTGTTATACGCGCCCCGGGCGAGCGTGCAATCGCTCTCTTGTGTGTAGGCGAGCACAACGTTGCAAACGCACAACGCACGCACGTGTACATATACATCACGCACACATTATTGTTTACGTATGTGCGTATGACTCAGCCAAAAATACCGTACGTCTGCTTGGCGCGGAGGAACGATGGGATTGACCTGATTTTAATTTCGCGTATATGCGATCGCGATAACTGGCGCTTAGCTGAATTTTTCAGCGTTTCTGCCGACGCGTGTTTACCGCAAATTGTTTTCGTTCTATCCGCGCTCGGTTTCGTCGTGCCCACCGGTCGCGGTCGTGGCGGTGCAGATGCAAATGTCGGTGCGAGCGAAGGTCAAGAAAAGTGCACTCCAAGTACGCTGCTAACTTTAACTCCCAATGCAGCAACATGCGCGATATAACTATATTGTATATAAATAATTTATTATATAAATATCTTATCATCGATTACATAAACGTGAAACTTGAAAACGAGTTTAGAAAAAAAAAAGAAGTAAAGGGAGTAAAAAGGAGTAAACACCGTTTATATATCAGCGTTTCTTTTTTCCAAAATCAAGTTTCAAGATATTGATCTTCTTGATTACAAATATTTATCTTACTCGCCAAAAATGATTAGGTATCTTAATTATTCTTATTAACAATAATAAATTTTCCCGGTACAAATAGCGCGATTACGTAGTCGTACACAGTCATTCGATTTTCAGTAAAGTCTGAAACGATAAGATTCTAGTAAAATTAAGTCTCTCTCAAAATTGAAATGTTTCAAGTAGAAAAAGATTTCTTTCGTTGCAAAGTTAACGGCGACGCCGCGTAGCGTATGTCGAATAATGGCGAAGAAAGCTTCGCCCACTAATGAAATATATTATACGCCTTCCTTTACCACCGTGTTCGACTGCCCCCTCGACCGTGGTCTGCGGAGCAAAAGGGCATATAATGCATAAACACAGACGTCGGTGAAAGTTGCATACGATGTTTGACTTCTGCAATTAAACCGGGCCAGCTTTCCATGCGACGCGATTCGTTTCATTTCGAACGACGCGACGGTTTCATTATTAGTACCGGTAATCCGCCTCTCTAATTTCGCCTCTCGCGTCGTCGCCTTCGCGTACTTTCTAATAAAATTGCGGTCAATCATTTCCAGTTTTCTGCGCGGCGGCGCGCAAAATATCTCTCTTTTGCAACTCTGTTGCAACAACATTGAGCGCTGTAATCCAATTATAGAAATTTTTGAGAAGCATTATTATTAATAGATTAAATTATAACTTTCATTACCGTCATGTATATTTTGCGAAATGAATTATTTTCAACCGACCACAAATACGTCGAACCATCTTAAACAAACACCCTCGATACTGGAGTCCGAATAAATATCCGTGGAAGAGCTGAATTCGAACGAAAACGCAAAACGTACACGTGGCTAACAGTTTTTGTCGTGCGAGAGAGAATTTATCGCGCGAATCAGGACCGAAGCGGAGCAAAGCAGCGACCGAGCAGCGCCAACTTTCATTGATCACACATGTCCCTACAGAATTAAATGCACTTGGGAACGACCAGAAGCGAGGCTGTACAGCGAACGAACAATTCAAAATAATTCAGGACGAACAGTCCTTCCGCGAAAGTGGAAAAGTAAATTTCGCCGATGTGAACACACGATATATACGCGACAAAGCAGTATGTTTGTCGAATGCCCACATCGTTTGCATTATTCTAAATTCATTTCTCTTTATAGAAAAGAGAGGGAAAGAGAGAATATTCTACACTATTTTGGAAGCAAGCTTTCACTTGGAAATATATCCGACTTCTTCAAGTTTGCAAAATTGGTTGCAACTCGGCGAACGTACACATATACACATATACCGATATTAATTCACATTCACACAATTATCACAGACTGACGTCAACATTTTAAGTTTCTTTTTTTAGTGTTTTATCACTACTTTGTCAATTTTCCATCATCACTGAAGCTCATCGATTGCATTGTCAATACATATCACAAAATTGTACAGCAGGTCTTTTCTATTCATGGTCTATTTCCGCGATTTTTCGATCGAAAGACGAAAAAGATGGAACGCTAATGTCTTTCAAATGTATATTAGTAAAATACGAGAGAAATGAAAATGTTTCAAACAAAATATAAAATAAAAGTGAGAGTCAAATGTATATTAGTAAAATACGAGAGAAATGAAAATGTTTCAAACAAAATATAAAATAAAAGTGAGAGTCAAGAATTGGTGTCTCGATATATAAAACAGACGCGATTTGTAATGCACGTGAATTATATAACGTGCTTTCTCTACGAATGCGCTCGTTCTTTCACTTCTGTAACGTGCACCAGAAGCAAGTATGTCAGCAACAAGCATAAAGAAAGCTGCACTTTTCATATATATTCGTATCTTTATATCTGATATCTCGAATTAGAGCAACAACTATGCCTCCTCTCCCCCCCCCCCCTCAAAAAGGTGATATTCGAAATAACACTTAGAAACGTCCGATTTCTTCCAGCTGCAGTTCTATCGAGCAACCAAGATTAGTCGTAAACTCGGCAAACACGTATCGGCATTCATTCACATTTGCATATCCTAAATGTTAGATTCCGGTTCACGTGCGTTTCCAGGGAAAAAAAAACTCTGTAGGAGAATGCACTTCTCACTAGTTCGAGTTGCGGAGAACGGAGGAGTTTTCACGACGGTCGGCGGGCCCCCGATGTCGCACCCGCACTATTTTCCGGTAATAGAGCAAGCGCGACGACGGCTTGTCTATGTCGGCCGCTAGTTGCCCGCGTAGTACTCGGTGGTGGGGGGTACTGCGCGCCTTCTTAAAGCCTTGCGCTTTTTTCAAAAACGGCGCGCTACCCCCGCCACGCTTGCTCTAGCCCCCCACCTAGTCCCCGCAAACGCATATGCGTTGCATGCCGCGGAACTCGCCCCCCTCCGCGCCAGCCCCCCTTCCGCCGCCCCCTCTAAATCACACTTTCCCGCCCCACCCCCTATCCGTAGAGCCGTTGCTCTTTCGTACCATCGCTGCACCTCTCGACACGCATACATGCACACGCACACAAATACATGTGCTGCAGTACTT